CTGTTGTACTAACTGGTTATCAGATTTTATTACTGTTATCACACTTCTTTTTGTAAACCTTGGTAGGGAACAAAGTTCATTCATAAATATAGAGGTGTATCCATCGAGTAACTAAACTTAGCCCTAACCTGTAATCTTCAACATTTCTCACCAATCATTTGGCCTTAAAATGATATATGCATTGTATGATCCCACAGTAAATCAATGGGACGCCATAAAAGACTTGGCTGTCCTCTTCAAAGTCCATGATTTCCAATGTAACAAGCATGAAAAAGTTATTGATTTATTAGACATAAGAAAATGAGTCAGTAAAATAAGAACAGATAACTTTCTTAAAATAAACATCTCTACATATTTAAGATATCATATGATTTTTATTGTGTTAAGAACATTTTCTTTACTTGTAAGCACACTGTTGTCATACACTACTAAAAACCAATCATTAATACTTTATTTAATCATTTCTCTTCTAACATGTAACATGCAAATACAATTGATTAAAAGCATTGTGAAACAGTTGAAATTCATACTATCATTATTGATGCCAAATAAAACTAGCAAACTAGTTGTATGTATTTGAGCTAGAAATGAATTTCTCTGTGTTTTTAGAAATCAAGAAAAAGCTTCTCAAAATTAGATTATTTTGGCAATAAAAAGTGTCATACTTCGATTTTTGAAACAATTTAGTCGTGAGTTTATATCCTATCAGGAGTCCAGACATATGAATGAATGTTAACAAAAGAACATATATTACATTCAGATTTGTAGCACTGATCAATACAAAATATCTAGTAATATAACTAAAGAATATGTGCAAAAACGCTCACAAACCAACAGACGTTGATTTCAGTCTTGTAGAGAGAAAATGTAATGATTTAACTATAAATAATATATGAAACCTAAAGTTAATATTCATTTTTTATTCCAAAGTTGAGTTATAAATTTTATTGCTTATTATGCTTAATCTCAGTGTCCACTTTATTGATGTTAGTTGAAATAATGCAAAGAGAAGTATTAACAACCGTCTGTATTATTATCGTAATATATATATATATATATATATATATATATATATATATATATATATATATATATATATATATATATATATATATATATATATATATATATATAAAACAACCTCTCTTGTGTAAATATTCTAAGCTTGATTATATATTTAAACGTTAAACCGTTACCTTTATGAGACTTTCTTTCACTGAATGGTGAACAGTTAATACTCAAACTAACAAGTATCCGTTCTTCAGCATAAATCAATCAAATTATATTCTATAAAAAAAACAAGAGTGTAAGTTATAAGAAATTAGACTTCATAGTATAAGTTGAATATGACTAACAGTGGAATAGAAGATGCACGTGACCAACAGGATAATCAAGGACATGACAAACTAAATTACACAAAATAAGAGTTTCAAGAAATTGACATAAAATATTCTCAAAATTGAAGTAGATTAAATATGGTATATGCTTTCTGATTTATTCACATTTCAATTCTTAGCCTTGCTTATTAAAAGAAAATTGCTTATAGGGAATATTGAAGTTTAACTTTGAACTGAACAAAGAAAATGTTATTTTTTACTAAAATAACAAATAACTTTTCATATGCATTACCTTTAAATATGATCTGTTTCCTTTTGTTTATTAAAAAAAACTATTTTATTCACTAATATATTAATATGCTAAAAAATTAATATTAGAAAGAATATTTAATTTAATAAATTCTCTAATAACTTAGGACTTTTTTGTTTACAGTCATGTTTTTGAATAAGACAAATTGCTCTATAGAAATTCAAACAAGACGGCTGGATGAAACGTTGAAGTTATTTATATTTAAATTGCTTAGATTATTTCAAATATAATTTTCGTGCGTGAAATGATCTGTTTTCTAGTCTATTAAATAATATTCGTTTTAAAATTTAATGTTAAAAACATCATAACTTTTATTTGAAATGACTATATTGGTTAGTGACTTAAGAGTTATCGTTTAGTCAACTAATAAATAATTCAGGATGACTTACTGTTCGATTCACATTGTTATGATGAAATAAGTTCTAATTTATACAAAATTTAATAATTTTGAAAATCATCTTATTTCTAATTGTTTTTTTTCAATAATTTTTATTTTCCGTAGTGGTTATTCACATCCTAATTGGTAAACTTTAATATTAGAAAAGGTTAGTTTGTTTTTCATAGGCAACAAACAACAGATCTAGCTGGTTTATGTTAGCAAATTTTCTTAATTTACTGATTCTCAAAAAAATCTGGGCAATAAATAATGTGTAACATAAGTATTTGCCAATAATGAACTGAAAATAAACCATAATCTAGTTTGCAAGCACATCAATACACTAACTAGAAATTGAAACAGTCGAAGATGTTATTCAAACACTATTTTAAGATCATTGCTTCATTAAAGTGTTTAGAGATTACGTTTTCTTCACAAACAACTCATTGCTTTCCATTTTTAGTTTCAGTTTAGGAAGGACAAGAGGCTGAGTTGAACATTTGGTTTAGTGATTAGAGGGTTCCTTTAGTAATCATGGATACTTTTGCCCGGATTCCATAGACTTACCTACATCTAGTTAAGTTAACAAATTAACGAAATCGAGTTCTTCAGTAGTTACAGTATCGAGTGTGTAGTTGAAATACGTAAGGGAAAGGCATCTGTACTAGTCGAGTAGTAGAATTTCAGAACTGTAATCAATCGGATTAGACAAATTTATTTATCTCAGTTTTAATTCATGAAATAATTTTTGAGCATATCATATAATCAGTCAATAAGGTCAAATATTTGTTATTTTTCTGAATTATATTTAAAACAAAATAGTACTTTTGAGTGTGAAAATAAAATCAGTTATGTAAAATATTTCTGTTTATATTCACTAACAGTAAAATATATAAAAAATGTACGACAAATTTAGGTATATAATTACTGGTAACACAACTTTCTACATTAACAATATATTTTCATTCCGAATCATTATTGATCGTACAATTAGTGATAACACTAAAATAATGATTTTAGCTTTCATTTCAAGATACTGTAGAGTAACATTGAATGATCAAATCTTATTACAAGTATTGTCCATTATATGTTCTGATCTATTAAATGTGCCATATAGTTTTTGTAACGAAATCGGAATGACTAAATTGAGAAAACTAAAGAGGAACTGTTTTAGTGCTTCATAGTTTTTGATTATTCTGCAATGAGAGAACTATCTCTCAACAATAGATTTTTCGATTTTTTTAAATTTTGTATATTTCGGAAGTATATTTTGGTTCCCAGTATTCATTCATCGTTTTTGCAGCTTTATAACTTGCTTTCATCCTATTTGAATTAAGTTTCTTCTATAAAACATTTTCGTTTCGTATCATTACAGAAACAATACACGTCGAATAAACACAAACAATAATCTTGTCTGAACTAGTTAGATAGTAAATAACTATACTCCCGTCTTATTAAATTTGTTGAAACTCTTGCTGCTTTTCAAGTGAAACCAATCTTTTGATCTTTTCACTTGAAGCACTGCTGACGTCTGCAATGTTCAAGTTTGTTTTGTGATCTGATAAATAAATGCAAACTTTTTACTTGAACAACAATTTTAATAATACTGAATGAGAGATACTGCTTTGCTACATTTAACAAAACTGTTAATAGTTAGCATTAAACAAAGAATTATATCGATAAAGAAGGTTGTTCCCATCCATAATTAAATATATTCACTCACAGTGGAAAGTATTCACTATAGAAATCAATGAATATGCTGTATTTTCCTTGAATTAAAACAATCCTTTAATTAAATAATAAGCAACTTTTCTTTGACTTAAATAAAAGTAATTTAGAAATACCTGTTGTTATTTAACCACAAGTATAATCCATATTGATTTTTAATCTCCTTAATTTAAATTTCTATTTATCAAATCAAAAACTCTTTTTTGTTAGTGAACTAATTAAATAATTTGAAAATGGATGTTAAGTACTATTAAGCACTATTAAGTTTTTATTGATATTAACCTAGTAACAGTAGTTTTAATGAAGGCATGGAAACTAACTGACAAGCCTGGTGTGTTTTTGGAACCAATCAATTCAAAAAAATATTAATAAGTAATTTTCTACATTACTTTTAAAAAACAAAATGTTTCTACCTCTATAGGTTCTGAAATTGCATATACATGAAATTAAGAAGGGATACATTGTCATATGAAATAGTTACAAGTCAACTTCCATAGCCACCAACAATATATTTAAGATTGTAACTTAGGTTCACTGCTCATATACTGAGATACACTGAATTCAGTAAAATGACGTTAATAAACGGTTTACTATTTGCTTTATTTTGATAACATGAATTTGTTAGACATAACATACTAGCTTTTTGTATTTACTTTTATTGAATTTTTCCGTTTCATGAATGCCAATCAATTTATTGATTACAGTCAATCTTGCCTCTCCTCGGTGTTTTCACTTTTCATAGACCGTTATGTACCATTGCGGTTAATCATCTCCAGTGTATGTTGTTTTCCTAGGTCTCTCTTCGTATCTAAATTTTATTCGTCGAATCTATCCTTCTTTATGTTGGATGATGACACTGATTTTTCGCAATTCTAATGGACTGTTTTCTGCATTGTTTTTTTGATTACTCTTTTAGTGTATCCAGATGTTTAACGTATAAATTTTTTCTATATTTATTATTCAATATAAATCAATGCTATTGTCAACAAAAATTCTAATGAAAATAATTTTATAAATATTCACACTTGTTTAGTTTTGAAAAATTACCAATATTATTATTATTTAAAAGTTTGTAAACAACTGAAACAAATCAGCATAATCAATAAAACAAATTCTTTTTCCTTATGGTTATTTTTCGATTGAATAAATATTGGAAAATTCTTTTTATTTTAAATTATTGTATATTTTTATTTCTGTTCATCATTTAGTATAAATGCATAAATGCACAAATTAGATGTACACGTGAACGATGTATAAAACTCATTTGGATATATCTATCGATTCAACAAGTTCAACAACAGTGAACACAACTTCAATGAATCCAATGTCTACAACAACAACAACAACAAAAGTTCGTTTTATTCCAAATTTATGTAATGGTCATTTATTGTCATCAATATCATCAATGAAAACCAATTCTTCTAATCTCTACGATGCACCATCTTCATCAGCATCCTCAACGGGGGATTATTCAACATCATCTGAAATTAGTAATGTATCTCATGCTTTGAAAAATTTTACTATTGGTGATCGAGTTTTTTTAAATAAATCAAAACAACATGGTACTATTGCTTATATTGGTCCAACACATTTTTCCTCTGATGATCTTGTCGGTAGGTCGGTATTCTTCAATGAAATTTTAAGAATTAATTTCAATTTTTTTTTATTTGTGACAAAATTTAGTGATGAAACATCTCCAGTTTTGTCCAAATGTTAACAAATTTTGATAATAAAGTTTTTAAGAAATTAAAAAAACATAATTAAACAGTTTTATTAAATTGCTATAAACAGTTGGTGGCATATCATTAATTTAAATATTACATGTTAAATACGAAAGCCAAAAATCAAACAATTTACAGATTGCTTTATTTTCTAAGAGCCGTTCGTAATATCTTTATGATTAATTATTAGGAACAAATCAAACATAGGATATACTGTTCAATATCATATTTTTGAACCACACCTATCTACTACTTCATATATAAAAATATGCGATTCATCAATCTTAAGAAAACTTCACAAGACTAGAAAATATCATTGTAGATGATTTGTTTATGAACTAACGCCATGACTCAAATTACGTGTATATCGTTTTTATCATAATGAGATTTATGTCTTAAACCGTTCATTGTTTTAGTTTATTTAATTTCATTAAAATTCTCATTTCGACAACTGTGCATTGTTAACAATAATTTAATGAAAAGTGTGTGTCACTGTATTTAGTGTAGGTAAAGGTATGCATTCTAAGCATCTAACTCATTTCAACTCCAGTTTTAGATCAAAGACTATTTGCTTGATAATAAATTCTCAAAAGAAGCAACCCATCAACTCACAAACTGACTTCTATTAGACATTCTCGTAAACAAAAAATTATATAGATATCATCTATTCATTGGTGAGAATTTTTTAGGTGTGTTTTTTGTTTCGAACTGTTTTGAATGAATCAAAACATTTTCTTTGTTCTTTTCTCTAGTTATAAGAAACGATTATACAGTTTGATATTAAAGAACAAGTCTTTGTAGAACAATCAACCTTAAGTTCATTTAACTAATCAGTCTTTTGAGGGTATAAAAAGGCGCAGGCTAATCAAACAATTAAACATGAGTTCAAGGTGTATTTTAATTAGTAACATTGTTACTTGAGATTTTGAAATGATTAACGATTACCAATCGGTGATAACTTAAATGTAGTCTAAACATTTCCTCAACAAGGTATTGAAAAATGATGTACCAGAATAAATTCACTGATAATTTGACAAGATACGCTATTTCATGTAGGCTTACTAATCAGCTGACAAACGGGTACCATCAATTCAAATCTCTGTACCTAACTTTAAAGCACATATGACTTGATAAATAGGGTTGACATTTCTAACTCCAACTGCAGTCAGTTATTTTTAATCTATGGGGAACAAGTTTGCGTTGGCGAAATTTGTTAATCATATCAGCTCTGACTAATGTGATCCGTGATCAGAGACAACTTTCTTCCTTCATTTAAATAAGTTGAGCCAATCTTGGATTGAGAAATATAAGATGAAGCAATTAATTTTCATAACTTAAATCGGAAACCGATCTTAGCTAACCCACAATTTAAAACCCGGAATTATTGGATGGCCATTTCTTCATAGTATGTGACTCCTTAACAATACACGTTCACGACCTCGCATCTGGCAGTTGAATCCAGGGCCCTTGGTCTCACAGGTTAACTCTTAAAACTTCAAATCACTGAACGTCATTCGTGTATCCTCACTGTTGAGGAGTAACATACTAGTAAGATACGGTTGTTCAGTGCTTCTAAGTTTTAACTGGCTTTCTAGCCCAAATCAAATTGTACTTGTAACTGTGAAATTTCTATAATCTACACAAATCCCTGCACTAAAAAATTTACAAGACTTATTAAAAAACCATGTAAGGCTTTAGGATTTTTTTTATAGATGGATTATGTAGAACACCATCACATCAATAAGAGAAATGGCATACCTATCAGTATTAAAAATGAAAGGCTGACAGTTTAAGGAAGTTGTCCACATTGAGCAGACTAATCAGTAATTTTAGCTCGACATAACAAATAGATATAAGTGACCTGAGAATGTCACTTCAACATTATATATACTTTGGACGAGATAATAGTTGTTGATCAGTCGGTTGATAAATTAGTTCACTTCCGCCTCTGAATGGTTAACGTTGGTCAATGTAACTAATAAAATGCCTTAAATTTTCAAAAGCCCGATAATTTTATATGTATTTGACAATGTTAGGTAAACATAACATTGTGTACTTAACAAAAATGTTTTCTTTTTATATATAATGTGTCAAATAAAACATTTCCATTTAGAATATTTCTACTTTGACTATGGCTTAATTTTATAGTCGTTCTTGTGAAGTAAATAGTGAAAGATTAAGGGAATAAGGATCCATTAGTACATAAAAGTCAGTGTTAATTCTTAAGAGAACTTATAAGGAAGCTATATATTTTAAAAAAGAAAAGGAGACAGGAAATGTAGTCTCACTAAGAAATGTAATGATTTCATTCTTAAAACCGTTTAGTAGTAAATATACACAATTTTTTAAATAACAATAATACATTGAAGTAAACAGGTTCTTCTACGTAATTTTAATTTAATAGGATTCTGAGACCCTGTTCTACTTAATGCATAAGAAAAGAGTGTAGGTCCATGATAAATGCTATAACTGAACACACTTTAAGCACTTACCGTGCCGTTAGACTGTCGCCTGCTTAATATAATGCTTCTTCGCCGTTTCTTCATCATTGCACATTTTACTAATCACGTAGATAATCTAAAGCTGTATGCGCTTAAGTAAATTAATCTACCAATTTTCTTGATAAATTTATTAAACTCTAGCTTTGTAAATTACAACTTCATTCCTCCTCATACACTCTGTTAGTTTCCGCTCTTGTCACAGTGATCTAATTTTTAATTTTTTTTTAATTTTTAATTTCAAATTCATCTCAACGTGTGATCTAAGTTATTTTCATAATTGTTAATCTTTATTTCATACCTATAACATTTTAAATTAATTGTTGTTTAAGTCAATATAACATTTTCGTTTTCAATCATGACAGAACAATAATGCTTATAAACAACAGACCTAGATATTATGTTTCCCTAAAGTCTTTTTATCAACGCTGCTAAACACTTGACGAGTTGAAACACGGAAAAATAATTGATTCAGACAATATGATAAAAGTGTATTAACAGGTGTGTAGTAATTATTTTCTTATTATTTGGCTTTTGTTACAACTACTTTAGTGTTAGAAACAATTTCTCTTGCAACACTCTAACCTGGATAAAACAAAATCAAAAATTTATCAAACAATGCCTTTTAATCTTTGCAGTAGATGTGCCCTTCATAATATTTTTCAAAAAAACACTATCAGCTCAAACGAGTAATTTTTTGGCTTTGATGAAAAGGTTAAAATTAATGGCGAGGATAAAGAGAAAACATAAAAAAACAAAAATTGTACAGATGCTCTATTTCGTTTATTTTCATACATGGGACTGTTTTTGTAGCAGAAAGCTTTAAAGTGAATCTATGTTTTTGTCGAATTCACGATCGATTAGCATTCCACAAAGCTATGCAGCTCATCGAATTCCCCTTTTCCGATTATATTAAAGTAAATTTATAGATAATAAAGTTCTCTTGCGTTGTATCAAATAGACAACCGTTAATTAAGATATTTGATAAAAGTTTAGTGAAATCAATTTTCCTAGAGAATATCCTTTGAACAGGAATTTGTAAGCTTCAAGGTTCCCCTAAGTATCAGTCATATCAGGAACTAAGCTAAACATAATTGTCATTTTAGAGGTTAGAATTTGAATATTGAAATTAATTCTTAGTATTCAGATTGCATAGTGTTACACTACTAGTGTTACTACTAGCTATTCTACATTTATATTCAAATGTTATAATAGCTAAATCAAAGTGATCTGAAAATGAAGCTAGTGTTTTACTACTGTTTAGTTAAATACATGAGCTATGTACAGGAGGTGATATCACTTGAATAACCAGTCTGCTAAAATCTTTTGAATCTAAGAACGCGATTTACGAAATTCCTATAAAATTTTGATAAACACAACTCTTATAGCTATCAATACTGAGGTTAGACTTGAACATTGGATGGATTGTTAATAATAATGAAATAAGTATAATTTTTCAGTGATATTCCAATGAGTAGAAATTTGTTAAAAAACTAATCTGCTCTGAAGAAATGACTTGCGTTAAATAGAGAAACATTGGAATATTACCAGAAAGTTATAATTATTTCATAATTGTTATGTTATAATCGTCATTTTCACCTTAACCGTTTTAAACACCGTACAGCAGATTTATCATAATGTCAAGGTATTCGGTTAGTCACAAACAACTATTCAGTCAATAGTTATTAAGCAGTTTGGCAGGATACCGAATATTACTGTTCAACTTGAGGTTTCCACATCAAATTCCATGTTTTAGTTTAGTGATCTGTGAAGGATTTTTCTGAAAGTTAAACTGAAACTTTATTTATTGAAACGACATCCTTATGAATGTACACCGATTTACTTATATTATCAGTTGCAACGACTAATGTTGTGGTGCTATTATTCATTATCAATCCAGGAGATAAGATCGATGGGCAGAACAAAATGGGGAGCATTTCAACTGGCATTCAGCTACACTTTGGTTACGTATGGTCCCCAGTCCACCTGAATGGCAAGTTGATGAAAGTCCTCCAACTATTAATGCAGTTGAAAAGGCTATCGTAAATCTGAACGGAGGGTGGGCAGTAGGCCCTGATAAATTTATCCCTGAGTGGGAAATAGATGTAAGTCCTCCGACTCATCATAAAGTTGAGAACGGGATGGAGAGCAACAGATAGGTCAACCATCAAGATTTTTAAGGATGGTGGTCTAGTTTGAGCAGTGAAACTGACTGAGATCTTAAGTAGAATCTGGGAACTGGGCGTAGTCCTCTTGTGACAGTCACAAAGGGATCAGTTTGACTAATATAGCGTCTAAAATATTAGCTTCGATAGTACTTCAACGTCAAACTGGGGGTCGTGAAGAGCAGACTCGGGAAAATGAGGGTGGTTTCAGACCTGGACGTGGGCGTTTAGTCCAGATATTCGCTCTTTATCAAGTTCCGTTACATACACACACATTCAGGTGTTCATCAACGATTGTATTCCTCGACCCTAATGCAGCATCTGACTCTGTTGATCGTGAGGCTCTATGACAGTGTCTGTCATTAACAGATGTACCAAGGAAGTACATTAAACGTAAACGGGCTTTTTAATCGAACACTAATAGTCAAGTGAGAGCTTATGATTATTTGTCATGAAAACTGATTATTTCATGCGGTGTTCGACAGGGTTGCATACTTTCCCGATTCTTATTCAACTTTGTCATTGACATGATTTAAGATAAAACAGTTCCATCTGCTGAATTTTCAGGAGTTAACCTTCTACTGGGAGATTCACTTGTCGACTTAAAATGTTCCGATAACAGTTCTACTTGGTGAATGCCGCGACTACTGACAACCCTAAGCAACAATACAAGCATGTTAGATATAAGGCTTCTCCCCTCCAAATGCAAAATATTACCTCAGGATTTGCTAACATCAGCACCTGAACTAGTGCCATAGGCAAAATATATGTCCGCTAAGCAAGGGACGAGGCTACTGCTCCGCAGTTCGCCCCGTCCCCCGATATGGCTTTGAAAAATCGCTCCTGTATCTTGGTACCATGATGCGAGCAATGAGGCTGTTGGGAAAAGAGTACTAGGTAGCGCTGGCAGATCAGTTGATGAAGTAGCGAAACGTCATCTTTTGAGATGGTTTGGACATGAGTTACGAATGCCCGACCACTGACTGCCTTGGCGAGCGGTAGTTCCTGGAGTAAAGGTAGGCTGGAAGAATGCTAGGAGTAGACTGACCAATATATTGCACAAATCCATCAAATCGCTGACAAGTGGACTGAGCCGTATTGGTAGGTATAGACTGTCTGGTTTGGGTCTGCTAGACGATAGTAACCGAAGGTTAGAGATCTTGAAAGATATGGCTCAAAATCGTTTGCAGTGGTGCGGATGCATGCATTCTTTGTCTCCCCTTCTTAATTCCTTGTAACCTTTATCTTTCTATATTGAAAGTTATTTCACTAGGATATACATCAAAAGCCATATCTTTGAACCGTAATCTTTTTGATTACCGTTTTTACTTCTACTATTATGGGATTTGAATAAATAATCAGATCTCTGTGTGCTAATGTGGTATGTCAACTTGAAATGATGTACGTACGTATGAAGTTCTACGTTGTAGCTGACAGACTGACTGAATTATGTGGTTGATACTAAATGAGCTCCTTTTTTATAACATGACATGACAATAATTGCGCAACTAACTACCAGCTCCTAGATTTGCATTATTATTTTTACCTGTCTGTGCCAGTAGAGTTATGATGAATTAAACTACAAAATTGTGCACGGAGGACAGCTAACAGACTCGTTCGAGGTGAAGACCGATATCGGGCAAGGTTGTTTACTCTCACCCTTTCTCTTTCTCCTGGTCATCGACTGGATTATAAAGACGTCAACACCTAGAGGAAAGCACGGTATCCAATGGACAGCTAGGATGCAGCTGGACGACTTGAACTTCGCAGATGACCTGGCTCTTCTTTCGCACACGCAAAAACAAATGCAAGAGAAGACGACCAGTGTAGCAGCAGGTCTCAACATACATGAAGGGAAAAGCAAGATTCTACGATACAACACAACATGCGCAAACCAAATCACTCTTGATGAGGCTGCCCTGGAGGACGTTAAAAGCTTTACATATTTAGGTAGCATCGCTGATGAGCAAGATGGATCTGCTGCAGATGTGAAGGCGCGGATCGGCAAAGAAAGGGGTACATTTCTACAGTTGAAAAACATCTGGAACTCCAAACAACTATCAATCAGAAATCTCAATACAAATGTCAAGACAGTTCTACTGTATGGAGCGGAGCGGAGCCATCATCCAGAAGATACAACTATTTATGAACAGTTGTCTTCTCAAAATGCTTCGGATTCATTGGCCAGAAAACATCAGCAACAACCTACTGTGGGAGGGGACAATCCAGATCCCAGTGGAGGAAGAAATCAGGAAGAAGCGGTGGAAGTAGATAGGACGCACATTGCGAAAAGCACACAACTGCGTCACGATACAAGCCCTCACTTGGAACCCTTAAGGTCAGTGGAATAGAGGGAGGCCAAGGAACACATTATGTCAAGAAATACAGAAAGATACGAGGAGAATGAACGAAATCGGACAGATCAGGAAAGTAAGCCCAGGACAGAATACTGGTAATTCACTGCATAATACTTTGTAAAAAGAAATATTGTTGTATTGATATGTTTCTTGTTTCTTTTTACTACACAGATTGTCATATTGTTATTACCATTGATATGGTTTACTTTTAATAAAGTAAACAAAGCAAGTGTTGGTGTTTGTGTACACATGTTTGTAATTTAACTATTAGAGACAGATAAAATAAATTTTACGAATTGTGTCGTGAAAATTATTTTCGTTTATCGACCCACAAATACTCATGTTACTGGTAAAAATAATTACTTATATGAGTCACAAAAATATGTTTGCTATTGATTATGGCTATTACAGTATTACAACAAAATATTATAAGTTATTTTCTCTTATTTTGGTTCACATGATTTATTCAAAAAATTATCTCATGGTGAAAATATGCCCTTCTTCCACAAATATATGTATGCATATTGTAGTGAAATAATAATTTATGGATCATGAAATTTGAAATATTGTATAATCAAGTTACAATTAATGACAATGTACTAATACCAGATGTCTATTATCATGTTGTTTAGAACGTAATATCATCTGAAATATCAAAATTGTAAACTTTTTGTGAAAAAAAACAAACATTTTTTTTTAAAAGATATGCTAAAGAATTTGTAGCGAATGAAGTTTTCAATATGCATTCATACACAAGATTTAATCATTAAAATAACGTACAAAATAATTGCATTCAAAGTTGTTAATAATTTGTAGTGCGTTCATGTAATTTGAAAGAAAAGGAAACATAGTTAAATTTTTCTTCTTTATGAATTGATATTAAACGGAGAATAATTGAATACTGATGATTGGTAGCGTTGAAATAAATTTTATACTCTTGCTTCAGATTGTTTTTCAACGACGGTTGTCTGTAAACATTTACAATGCCTAACATAGAATATTCAGACTCTGGGAATAGCAAAATACTACTCAGCTAATTCATCGAATCATAACATGATATAATTCGATCGCTTTTAAATGGTATGGATTAATCACTTCTGATTAGGTTAACTTTATAGTTTTCAAGTTATTGCACGACATGAATTTTCTAAGTTTGACATTATACTTGACCAGCGGTCAGTATTTTCGTTAGGTTCAGAGGTAAGATGAAAAAAGTGTTTAAAGTTGTTCAATTTCTCGTGGTTATCTTGCTGAAAATTGTCTTTACCAGTCACAGAAGGATACACATATATGCTTCTTTACGTAAGCAGTAATATACTAGATGAGTGCCTATAATGCGATGGATCACTAAGAGCGAGATTTTCTGGAGTATCTTCTCTAAAAAACCGTTATCATTTCATCTCCCTATCTTCAGTCATTAGTGGAATGAACGTTAAAATAATTAGATATGAAATAAAATCTCTATTCTCCGGTGACAACAGATTTATTGATCAGTTTTAAAGAGTTCAGAATTACCCATTTATTAATTAGTTACCATCGTTTTCTTTTTAAAAATAATATGCTAACTTTCAAAGTTCCCATCTCGAAATTGATTAGCTTAGTATTCATTGTACAAACCAATCAATTTAGATTATTTTAATTGGATTTAGAAGTATTTGAAATATATTATTTGAATGAAGATGTTTTTCAAGCTTATTCAGTAAACCCTTGTCTTTATATATATATATATATATATATATATATATATATATATCGGTTAGTTGTTTTAACAAACTAAAGTGCAATAAAATAGGGAATTAAATTCACTATACTCATGATCGATATGAGATGCTCACGCGTGATTGAAGTAAACTTGATTATATGCTTATATATCCAAATAGAAAACTGTTCACTTGTCTCTGAGACAAATGATTAATAGTTTCCGTTTATTAGACTAGATTTCTTTCAGCTTAAAATTTGGAATATTAATACTTTTAAGTTTTACAACCATTTGTCATTATGAATAAGCAAGGCAAAGAAAGATGTTCACTAATTAATGATAATTCATTTCATTTCAGTCTCTAATGGTAGATTATATTTCGAGAATTAATAATATTCATGTCGACGTCACGTATTAAAAATCTTATAATGATTACTGAGAATGTATATTCATTGTTCATTCTATTGACTTAGTTGTTGGGAAGTGCATTTACAGATCATCATTATAATAATTTAGTCAGGATTACAAGTAAGGTCAATACAATTGCCACTTCATTTATTGTTAATTTCTATCTTTTATGTAAGTAAACAGTTCTAATATATAAACAGTATGTTTTGTAAATCATATATATATATATATATATATATATATATATATAACTGAGAACTGGGTAACAATACACCGATTTCATTTTGTTGAATTATGGCATAAATATTGATATGATATTTATGCTTTATAATAATTAGTCAAACAATCGACTAACTAATCAGTATTGTTCAATCATTTACAGGTGTTGTGTTGGATTCCAGCTCTGGGAAACATGATGGCAGCATAAATGGAATAAGATATTTTCAGTGTCCAGCCAAACGTGGATTATTTTGTCCAATCACTGACTTATTTCCTATAGATCAAAGTAAGTAACTAAATATATATATATATATATATATATACGTAGACGAAAATACTTGGGATCGGTTTTTATACATCGCTTCAGTTAGTCAATCAATTTATTGATTATCCTTGTTCCTTAGTTTTTAACTCAGATAAAACTAAAATATTGGTTAAAGAATAATTTTAAGAAGATAGCTATTCGTAACTATCAACTAATTTGGTCGTTCTGCTTACAGTTAACAATATGCACATTATTAAAAATCTTCCAACTTATTTCAAAAGATTCAACTTCATTTATTACGCAGAATAACCTGAACATGGAATAATTCATTATTCTTAAAATGATTACTGACAAAAAAAGCCAAACAAAATATCAGCATATTTCTGACTAAAATGTTATGGTGAAAAGTCGAGTTTTTAATCGAATTATATTTTTACAATATTGAGATGCACTAATATAAGGTGTTCTTAGTCCTTCAGTTGAGGTGGTTGGGACATGTGCTGCGTATGCCTAACCACCGACTGCCTCGACGAGCTATGTTTTGTGGTGTAGGAGTAGGTTCGAAGAAAGTTAGGGGTGGCCAGACCAAACATGGCACAAATCCATGAAATCACTGACAAGTGAACTTAGTCATGTCGGTAGTTGTCGACTACCTAGTTGGGGTCCGTGAGATGGTAATAATCGACTTTACGTAGCTCAAAACCGTTTGCAATGGCGCAGGTGCATTTATTCTTTGTGTTCTCTCAAATCCTAATCTTCTAGATTTTTCAACACCTCTAGTTTTGACTTTCTAAACTTATCTCACTGAATCATACTTCTTGAATAATATCTTCTAATCCTAACCTCTCCGATCACTTCTAATACCTTTTACTACCCCTACTACTATTGGATTTGAATTGACAATTACATCTCTGTGCTGATGTGGTATGGCAACATAAACTGTTGTACTTATGTACAAAGTTCTACGTTGCATCTGACTGACAGACTGAGTCCTTCAATTTTAACTTCTCATTTGTCGAAAATGTAGATCATATGGACTAGAATAAAAAAAAACATGGTATTTCCTATGCATACCAAAATTTTCTAAATCCCATTGGCAAATAACTTCTTTGTTCTTATAAGTGAATTAACAGCAAGCTTTTATTTGTCAGAAATTGATTAAATTAACTGATTTTTAAAAAAAAATTTTCAGTACCTTCAGTAATAATTTAGGCTTCGAGATTTATGTTTAAGCCGGTTGATTTTCAACTATCGAGTTACAAGTTTAAGCATTCTACCTTCTGATTTAATTTCGGTATTCGATCAATACAATTAACTTTGGATAAGTTATGTTTCTTGGAATTAATTAACTCAATTAATTCATAGTAAACATTTATGATGAAGCTAAATATCACTTCTTATGACAATAAACATCTCATATTCATTATAATTATGAAATAATCATTAAATTATTTTAGAAATCAACAATAAAAACTTAATTAGATTCTATAAGAATAGTATAAGCTACTGTTTACATTCTTATCTTATATATGTATATTTTTGCAAAGTTTTGAAAACCAGACTGTTGAATTTGTCTGATTTTTCAAATACACTCGATTTTATTTGCCTTTTTAAAAATTTTTTTCGTTTTTTTCTTTTTATCCAGAAAATATTATTTCCAAAACAAGAATTAAATCTAATAATGATTATGAATTGCTCCGGTAAGTAACTAATTACTATTTAACAATATTGTTTGATTTTGACTCACAGTATCATTTTATAAGTTGTTAACTTTACACCCAATTTTTATTTCATTATTAATTAATCAAGCTTATTAAATCCACCTTAAAGAAAAATATATTTCAACAATTATTTGTGAATTGCTTTAGACTGAAAATATAGATTTTAAGTTTTGACAGTATTCACTTGAAATCAATGTCCAGACATCAATAATATTCCTAGTTGAGAATGTACAAAAAATTCATTACAAAATAAATTAGTTTACAGTTACTGACATGAATTTTCTTTTACTAACCTAAGAAACTAATAAGATACATGCAGATATTTTGAAATTGTAGATAGATGAATATAAAACAATTAAACAGCGAGCATTTGTACCTGAGAAATCTTTCACCATTTTAAAAACAATGGCTAAACTAATTCAAGATTAGTGATAAATAAGCACTTCAAAGTGATATTTGATGATGCTTGACCAGAAAGAGACAATTGCTGTTTTGTTGTTTTTTTAATATCATATGAAAACAGTATTAGATATTATTGATCATTGTGAATAAACGTCAGTTGGCGAATCACTGAAAATAAAAAAAAACAGTAGTTTAATATTTCACTATAGCTTCACGCTTACCAATCCTGTGTGTGTTATCACTGGACTGAAATTATAATATCCGGGTAGTTCCTAAATGAAATAAATCATGCTTATGTCCACGTATCTACTGAGTATCAGTTTCATTTCTAATTGTGTCGAATATTGAGAAAATGCACTCAATATATGCATAAACCAGTATGAACTTATCTTTTGCAGACGAAACAATACAAATCCTTTGGAATAAATTACACAATCGTTGCACAAGCCGGTTATCTACCTAAAATTAGTGGTTCATTGTATAATATGTTGTCGTTTGAATATGAAGAGATTGTGTTCAAACTCAGTAAGAATATCAACGCTGAGGTGCACGTAATTTTTTTAACTGATAACTCCTAAATACAATTAAACATAACTCTTAGATTCCGCTGTCAGTTACTTCTCACCTTTTGTTATATCACTGACCATTTTTGAAATTTTGCGTGGATGTAGACACAAAATAAATGTCGAGTACTGCTTCACTTCGTATCATTCTCGATCCAACATCAATCAAAACTGAAACTGTAATTTAAATGAGTCAACATCTATCAAACATTTAACTTGATAGCTTTTTGCCTGCTCATACTTCATTGACAAAAAAAGTAATTTCTGTTGAGTCTTTTGCGGTGAAGCATTACAGTTAGTTTACATTGAAAGTATTTGTTCAGTTTCATCGTCAATTAGTTATATTTTTAAACTTTAGTTCATTGTTAAATGATGTATATTTGATGATAAAGATGATTGTTTCGATGAACAAACATAAATTTTTACTTATGAAATATCCGTTTATATTTGACAAGAAAAACGAATTCGTACCTCCCTTAAAATTAAACAAATCTTATAAATGTTTTTATTTACTTTATATATTGAAAGTTTCAAATATTTTCACAATATTTTTGAAAATTACTGTTTTCTTTTTTTTCTTGATTTATTAAAACATGATAATAATTATTTGCGAACACATTTCTGATATTGATCATTCATGCCATATGAAAGTTATGCTAAGTAAATAGTTTTGAACATATGAATTTTCTGTTGATAAATTGTATCTATGACAATAAGATCTTTTAGTTTTACTAAATATTACCAAACTTCAAGTAAATATTACACTAATTAGTGGATAAAATCGTTTCAATAGAAAAAAAGGTTACTTTCACAAATTACCCTAATCTGTAGTAAAATTGATATCTTAATACTGTTAGTTAGTTATGGTTTGTTTTTATTCTGAATAACCGACAGTAAACGTCTGATTTAACAACATGTCTACCTATTTAAAAACTTTTCACACATTTTTGTGAATATTTTCATTTTTATTTATAAATCGATTAGTTATTGTAAACTAAAAAAATACATCATAGTACATATTAATTACAAATATTATCGAATATGACTTGAAATCAAGGGCAAAATGTAATTATATTACATTCAATACTTCAAATTACATCTCAACACAAAGTAACTTATTACTCTTTTCTCTTTATTATTATTTTCTCTTTCGTCTTTTATTATTATTGTTCAACATTGTGTTAATCATGTCGTTTTTCATAAACATATGAATTGCATGATGTGTTGGGCATCTAATTTCTAAATCGAAAAATGATTAATTATAAAAATCATTATTATTATAATTATTAAAATAAATGAATTGTTTTTTTGTACGAGAAGTAATACAAGATTACTGTAATAAAAGATCTCACCTCTTAAGTTTATCAGTAGACTGCCTTGTAAATTAATTTAATTCTGATAGACAGGAAGGAAGGAATAAATTATTTGTCATTTTACTTTCCTTTTATTTTGTACTACAACAAATCAATAAGTAGTGTATTGCATTTAGTGTAGATAGAAATATTGCATTACCTAGATTTTGTTTATTAAATTAAAAGTAGGTTCAATAACAGTTTACCAATTATTAAATAATGAATATTTTTTTGGTTTAGTCTAACATTTCTGTACAGTAATGATTCATTAGTAAAACTTGATTTCGTTTCGCTCTCTGAGTGTTCTGTTACTCCGAACATCATGTCAGTGTTATTGCGTCTATGTATAAACTATTCTCTTGGTGAATGTACATTTTTTTGGCTGGTTTAAAACTTTTCACTGTCCAACTTTTATCGTTATTTCAGTCGAAAGAGTAGAAGATATCTTATATTCAACCATAATATCGAATATTTAGACATCAACAAACAAGCTTACTTTATTAGACGTTAACTAATCAGTGATATGAAGACAAAATTTCAAAATATGAGTACCTGAATAATTTAGACTGAGGTTTTGAACTTCAACTAAATATATGGTAATATTATTTGGTGATTACCTTGATCGAGTCTATTAATCTCAGATTTTCCTAAAATTATACGCAATTTTATTTATACTATCTGCCACTCACTAACATTCTGTTAATACCTATCTCCTAACAACTGAGAGTGATATACGAAATGTTTTAGCAAACACTCAAACCAAGAAAATTACCAGCCGGAAAGTGATTTAACCACCTCTGGTTATTTAAATGACCTGAGTTAACTGTGAAATCAATAAAAATTCATAATTATCTATTGATTACTAGATCTTCATCCCGTAAATGAGATTCTTGACCTTTTAAATTAAACTCAGCTTATAAAAAGAACTATTCAGACGAATAAGGCAAATAAATATTGTTTTTCAATTAATTTTCAGCCATGGCATTTCCCTAGTGATATACATATATGTGATTTATAATAACAAAATGATGCTAAACGCAGCTCGATGTGATAGAAACCTACGTTTGACGAGTATTAACTGTTCTTTAATTAAAACATTTGTCATGAAAAACACCACATATTACCTAAATAATATTGGATTTTTTTCGTCCTTTAACATTCGAAGTTGTATATGAGCTGAACTCTAAAAATTGTTTTGTCACAAGTTCAATTAATTCGAATAGTATTTATATTTCTATCGATTCGAGTTGATAACGCAATGAATCCGATTACAGAGTGAAGAATAAGTACTCAATAAGGAATTATTTGGCCGCATATACACGACAGCATATTTGTCACATTTAAGTCGATTATCTTTCTATATTGAAACATTTGTTTTACAATTATTTACTGAACCTGTTATTTTCAAGATTATACTATATTCCATTTTTCTAAACCTAAATATTTGTCAATGTATGAAAAAGTAAGTTTCACTTTAATTCAAGTCTTTCTATTATCCTTTGAAAGTAAATAGTTAAAAAGGATTTTGTAAATAAATCACATTTAGGATGCCTTTTCATGATTCTTTTTTTACTCTGATTTTTTTTTCGGGTTTCCTTTAAAGAAATTTGAAATGTCGTATCTCTGACAAACGGGTATCATCCAGTTCGGTGTGTAATCATTTTGATCGATATGACCGTAAACGTCATTCTTTTAGACTTCCTAAAACAACAACGGATGATGTGTATGCACCAGAAACTGGAAAGTTTCAAAGATCCTTGTCTGAAAGAGTCAAATCTACTGGAAAACTATGGAAAGATTCTGAATTCAGTGAATGCAGTCGAATTATTGAGCCTTATGATATACAAAAGGTAAACATTTTGACGTTCACATAAAAATATTTACAGATCTTTTGAACAGAAACCAATCAAACTAGTAATAAATGATGATAGAAATTTTCAAAAATGTTAACTTAACATTGAGTGAAATTCAGTTGCATTTCCTGATTAAGAAAAACTCTGTATTGACTATTGAAATCTTAACTTAATCTAATGATTTGAAGCTTATTAAAATGAATTTTAATGAAAAGAGATTTTCAGAAAATTTGATTTAATTGTGAGCAAAACGTCAGTCTATTACAAGATTTAAATTTTCATAAATTACCGACATTATATTGTTGAAAATCTGACTAGATCCATGATAGTTACACATCATTTTGTAAGTGAACGTTGAAAAACCATCGAATCTTTTACACATGAAACTTATTAAAAAGTGTTTATTCCAAATGAAACTTTGTTTTAGTGCATATATAAATATATATACTTTTATTTTTTTCTTGGTTAACCAACAAGCCTGATGCACATGCACGCCGCTGCTTTTTAGGCAACAACAGGATTCTCACGATCGCCGTTTCATGATCACCCCTGCCCCATACGGGAACGCATATGTTGTCTAGATTGTCTTGCAGACAAGTCGTACATCCAAACAGCACGCATAAGAACAGTGGCCCCCGTTCGGGCACTTATGAATCAAATCGGCAAGGCGGGCCTAGCCATCTAGACCTGGTAACCCGAAACGGATTACCGAGCCATCTAGCAGCCGTTCCAACCGTCTGATCTCCAAGTGCCTTGTGCTGATACAATCGACCGGAGCCCTCAGACCTCACATAAAGCAAACGTTTGTATTCGTCCCACAAGGTCAGCCGGAACGTACACTCTTCCATGGGGTCGATGTCATGAACTAGACCAAGCGCAAGCACTCAACCAAGCTGGGCTAATCCCACTACATAAGTGGGCAGACATCTTTTGCGATCAAGTATCCTTTCAGCACAGCATTACATAACCTAACTGGAGACCCTTGTTTAAGGGCCTTCAACGCCAGTTGACACACTACACTGAGATGCAGTGTTTGGGAAAAACCACATAGGATCAGCGTCTATAGTCCAGGATCTTTACGGCTGCTTCCACGAAGAAATCGTCTAGGGCCGTCTTCAAGAAAGCTGGAAAGCTATATCCCTTCCAAGGTATTTGTTACAAGCAGACTGATAGAGGACATGTCTTCAAACCATTATTTCAATTCGCCTACGCTCAATGGACGGGATTAAGACTAAAAGGCATTCATTCCTAATCCCCCAGAGTGGCAGAAACTCATCCACGGCCTTACGACCATGAACATGTACCATTATTCTGGACCATGCTAGGCACGGTATCCTAAGCGTTCGAAATGGCTTTTGGCCAGAGCGCTGTAAACAACGCCACGTTGCCTAGCGGGACCACGAAGAGCAAGTTGCCACCACAACCCTCAAAAGGCTCCATACACATACCATAGCAGAAGGTGAAGTCCAGCTTGAAGCGAATAGGCCTAAACACTCCTGAAACCCTCAGATGACGAGCCATTTGGCTACCCCAAGAGAGTCATAGTTACTCTCGACATATATATATATATATATATATATATACTTCTATTAGTCAATCAATTGGTTTAACAGATAGTAAAGTCAAATTCCACTTTTTTATTCAGTGGGATTGTTAGTCCATGCGGTAATTTTTTCTATATTGATCACTATTTTGCTGGAATTTTTCATCATTTATTTTGCATATCATAATTATTATTTTTAAATCGTTTTGAAACTCTATGAGAAGAAAGACAATCATCTCTAGTTTTGCAGTTTATATATATATATATATATATATATATATATATATATATAGGGTTCTAAGTGTGCATTTTTTTTCAGAACAACACCAAAATCTTGACAAACTACAATATTGACTATAAATAAAAAAAGCTCTCTCTGAATTTTCGTGTCACGCATATTCTGTAAACTGAAGTTTAGACCTCGGTCTTTCCTTCATTCTCTAAAAATCATGTATACAGTTCAAATATAAACTCACTTTCACATTAGGCATCATTTAATAACTTGCACAAAATACATTTGATCACTACCTATTTCGGATAACTTTTCATATAGCCATATACACATTGTTATAAATCAACAGTTATACAAATTAAAAGATCTGTTATTGTTGTGAAATCAATATATAATGCATAAAAATAATAAAATAATACTTTAAATTCATTTCTCCTTGTTCAAAAAGGTCAAAGTTTCCAACTATTTTACCAATTTAATTAGACATACCGAAAATTACATACTAACCTCATATGCAGAGACGTTTTACAAAATGAAAGTTTTTTTTTCAACCACAATAAGTAAACATAATAATATTCATCCTCTTTTCGTATTGAAGAAAGAAAGCAATCCAAATTGCTTCTTTAGTAAAATTCAATAACACGATTTCGTTGTTTTCATCATGCTGAAGAAATGCATGAGAATAGAATTTAAAAACACTGTTTTTTATACTGACATAATTTGAAATGAATATTCATAATTGAAATTATGGATTAAAGCTTAATCGTTTTTCAATCGTGTTCAATCAATAGTTGGATATGAGTAAGCAGGATTTAACACAACCGAATGTTCCGCTCTTCATGACATTTATCATTTTGGTAAGAAATAATGTTTTATGAAATGCTGAACTTTACATAGATCACAATTAGATAACCGATAAAAAGAAGAAAACTTTGAATTTGCTTTTGTCTTAGTGTAGGCTAACCCATAAATTCTCATTAGAAATCTCACGAGGGTAATGTATAAGTCTTAGTATAACATAGAAAACATATCTGATGAAATACAATACAGAGATAAGAGATGTAGATATAATTCTGTATTTTTTGTGGTTTCAGCTCATTCGCAATTGTTATAATATAAATAACTTATAAAAGATTCGTTATCATATAGACCTTTTCTTACTGATATTGAATAGACTATTGACTAAAGATACACATATAAAGTATTTGTAATGTACATGTTTTTGTATTATCAAAACATCCGCAATTTTCATTTGTGTCTGAAATATGTCAAATAATTTCGACATTTCTCTTGAATATTCCTTACTTGAAGCATATTTTACAATCACATAATCAAATAAATATGTAACACTGTTTTGTAAATTTCAACTTTTGGTCGTAGGCGCTTTATCATAAAGATTATTGATTAAAAATTCTATCTATTTTGTCAATAAATTGTCGACTTAACCGCAATGAACTTCTTCACTTAAGAATACATTCCAATTTTCTGTTTGTTTTTATGAATAGGAAATGAAAATTCATCGATGTAATACCCTACCAGGAAATTCAAATTCCCATTTAAACAATACATCACCAGCTAATTTAAACTTTATTCGAGCTGGTAGTCTTTCAAGAATAAAACAAAATCATGAATTAAAGAAAAGTAACACCATTTCTGAAATGACTTCAATTTCTGCATCGAGATTATATGATCAACGTCGAACTAATAATGGTTTAAATAATAATAAATTCAAATTGTTTAACTCAATATATGCACCGAATCAATCTTTATTTAATGTACAATTTAGAAATTCGTTAAGATTAATTAAATTGAAAAATAAATTAAATAAATATTCCACTGGACAATTACCAATTAATTTTAATGATAAAGATTGTATTAATATGACAAATAATTTATCATTTTATTCACAAACCAATCAATTTTCTAATGAAAATGAATTATTTCTTATGAATAATGTAATTAATTGTGCACAAGAAAGATTGAGTGATTTACAAAATCAAGTTTTACAATATCATTCAGCGAATGTAAAATTATCAAAACAATTAACATTTGTTAAAATGTAAGTTATTAAGTTATTTTTTTGCACGAATCTTTATTTGTCATTATATTTCTACACAAATATAAATATTCAGTTAAAACCTTGAAAATGTAGACAATGTTTTGCTGTTGTGACCCTATGGTATACATCAAATTATCGGATCAAATTAGGATTGATTATCTGCCCAAGTCAGATAATAAAGCAATTGGCGGTTCGAATCCAGAGAGGCGCAGGAGTCGTGTATGCGCACTGCTGATAAGTCTCATAAAAGGATGAAACGGCCGTCCAGGGCTGCCAAGTTTCTAATGGTGGTCAACAATGATTGACTGATGATTTCAATGTGTAAAACCGCTTATCTCAATAACTCTAATTGAAATATATATATATATATATATATGTATATATATATATATATATCACTGTCTGCATATTATTTAATCAGAAGGGGTAACTTGATTAGTTGATCGAAATTTTACATAAGTTTATGCACCCATCATATAAATTCAATAAAAGACATTTCAAGTAAATGTTGGACACCGACGAAAGTTGAATGGGAACAGTTCTAAAACCATTATGCTTGTTTTACAAAAACTGCTGATTGAATAGTTTATTATATCAGAAAAAATTATTTTAAATAGTCCTTAAATTGAATAGACATAATTAGTAATGTTAAATTTATCGTTACTTAAACCTAATTCGTGCTGTTTAAATAGCGTAAATCCCAGAGTGTTTTACTGAATTTATTCAGACTAATGTAAATAACCGAAAGAGGATGCAGTATTTTCATCATGTACCGGAAAAACTACGATTCTTAGAAATGAATTGTAAATAATTTATTTAAAAATTTCAATCATCTTTTAGATAGTTCTTTTATCATATAAGGTTTCCTAAACCCCAGAAAAATGTATGGTATTTCGGATTACAAACTGAGGCCTTACATTGTATCATTTGAAAAATACAGTTCTGTATGTATCACACACGTTCTTGACTAGTTATTAGGTAGCTTTCATTTTGTGTTTTTCTAGCGTGTACATATTAAATACATTACTGATGCGAAAATGCTTTACTAATTTAACTCATGATATGATTGTTAATGTTTCATTAAATAATTGAATACGTTGTCTATCATTTTCATTCTTGTTCATCCTATTTGAACAGATATCATGAGTGTAAATATCTCTCCTAACTATCAAATCATTTTCTGATAATTGCAAACAATCTCGTAGAATAATTTTAAGACTGATTTTGTTTTTCCATATGTTTTTTGTCGAAAAAGCATTATTAATTGAATTAATTACCTTCCAAGGGTTTAATTAAACCAGGTGTAATTCTGGTTTGATGAATATTAAAGATATGAAAACTCACACCTTACGCAATAAAATTTCTAGACATACCTTATTCACTGTCGAGATAAAATCAAATGCTAAAGTGGTCATGATTCACAACTTGTTCATGTAATTGCGTTAGGCGTTTTTACTGTAAACGTTGACACTAATCGACATTCAATGCTTTTGATTTTATATGTTAAAAAATTAATTCAATTGATTTGAATGTAAAGTAAGGTTTGATGATGTTTTGTTGACACATTGGGTCAAAAAGATATTCAAATTCACATCCCTAAGCCTAATGAAGTGGATTATTTTAGATCAGTTAAAGAGGCATAATAATATCGACTGATAATCAAAACTCTTTACGAGTAAGATTTTAGGCAAATTCACCATATACGTACTCTAAAAAGTAGTGTATTAATAATTCATGAATTACTAACATTGATAAGGAACAATAAACTTGACAGCAGTCATCATCTGAAGCTGTAGTAAAATTCATAATTAACTGGATATTATAGATAAATTAAGTGACTTTAAAAAATGCGAACACCATTTTTTCACTCCAAACCTACCGATAGGATGTAATAACTTGTAGGTTATTGATATTATCACAAGTCAAATTTGGTCTTCTTAATGCTTCATTTACTTCCAACTCTTCATTCATGATGCTATAATGTTTGTACAGCTTCAAGAATCGACAGTTTGGAGCAGACTTTATTTCCTGTTAGACAATGTGAAATGATATTGTCCTATGTTTGAAGTTATTCTTAAAGTCTTTAAAAGCCAACTGACTGATTTTATTCATTCTGCTTAACTCCTTTGAATTTTAAACAGCAATAAGACGGCAACGGAAGATTTAATTTCAGTTTGAGTCAAACTGATGTACTCTGGGCAAGCATAGGACACAATATCATCATAAATATATTTTAAATCGTATGTAAACAACGTATGCTTAATTAGGTAACAAAAAAATGTTATTAAATGAAACATAATTGTCGATGACGTGTGCAAATGTCGAAATTATATCCATTTCAAATGTAGGATTGTTTAGATTACTAAAAAATTTCGGATAGACTAATTAGGCTTATATAAACAAACGCGCAAACATATACACCTACATACGTATAAAAAACCAAGTCTGGAATTTTCAAAACCATATTTTTATCTATTCGGCTTGTTCAAAGCTATTTTAGTCAAAATCAAGGCATTTAGAGTAGACAGAATAAATGAATGTTACTTGGTCTTATGAATGCTTCTGTCGATGATAATAATGAATCTTAATATATTCATAGAGAGAGAGAGAGAGAGATTTATTTCGAGACTTCTTCTAACGACTTTTATCCTTGGTTAGGCAGATAAACTATCTTTTTATATATTTTAAATGAGAAGCGTCTGAACAAGCCTTATTTATAATTAAGATGTTATTCAAAGAAAATAAAACGTTTCAAATTGTAGGACTGATATTATCGAAAATATACTAAGGAGTTATAATTTCATGACCGAATATTTACATTTTGAAAGTAAATAACTCTGTTTCAAGTTATAATGATTACTTACTAATCATTAGCTTTTGAATTCGTAGCCATAGCATTAAGCTAACAGCTATTGTGAAAACACCACCAAATAGCATGGCTAAATCACGTTAAAAATCAACTTTTTAGTTCTTCTTACTCAACTGTAACCAATATATCTGATCTTTAACCTTTTTCGCCAACCTTGACTTTTCACTTTACGACAAATATTGCAATGAAATGTCTTAGAATGATTTGCGTTTGCAGTTATTATATTTGATAAAACGTTGAAGGTGTTAAATCCACGGTAGATAATGATGTGAGTTCAAATGACACACAAGATACTGAAAACTTGTTCAAACACCTGCAGTCACTCAACATCGCAAGTGTTTCTCGTTAACTGTATTTTGATTAATCCGTTTTTTACTGCTAAACTGTGTATTTATAATTTATGAAGGATGCGATTATGGAATTTTTTAGGACGAAAATGAAAGCTTCAAAAAGGAACAGTTTAGCTCAATGAACACAATACCTTCAAAAATATCACACCAAGTTCCGATACTTCTCCGTAACCTTAATTTTTAAAGACCTTCAAACGTTAAGGTTATTGTTTACTTTTCCCCCTGTAATCTGACTTTAATCATTCTGCTAGTCTAAATCCTTTCAGAATCAGTATATGTTTTTCTACTTACGATCATCATAAAATGTTTATCAATTTCGGTTAAACCAGCGTAGTATTTGATTGTGTAAAACTATCTTGTATCATCTATGGCACTAGTTTAGTTCTGCAGGCGCTCGTATTTCAAAGAAAGAAAACGTAACAGAGAAAGCGATCTTCTTTTCAACGATATAATTTTATGAAACTGTACAATCGTATTGATAGACAATCTTTCACGTAGTATTCTACAGTACAGTGTACCAGTTTTACAAAAAGACAACAACAATGAAGTGGTGTTGCCTGATTTTGGTCAAATTCATCAAAAGGTTTAAATATTAAATATTATAGTAATAATAGTTTAGAAATGGGTGTTATTTCAATTTAATTAATTTTAATGGTATTGAATAAAAAGACGTTGAATCATTTAGTGAAGTATTCAAAAATGATCAACTACAAGATCTCACTATTCACGAGTGTTCATTGGGTATTTTGAACTGCTAAATTTTACTCAAGTTGAGCGGAGCTTTTTAAAATTTTAAATTTATGTCCAGTCTAATGACTATTTACGTATCTAACAGTGGATAAATAAACAGTAAGTGATACATAACAGCATATATTGATTTAATCCGAAAGTTCCTAACTAAATATCTATAGGACTTAAACCATACCTTTAGAGGTTTGATGTGATTTTGAAATTTCCAGTGAAAAACACTATCTTCAGAACAAAATTATTAATCATCTATTGAGTTTCAATAAATATACAATAACAACTTAATTATGCTATTATTACCCTATAAATGGATATAGTTTCTTAATTTTTTTTACTAATTACGGTTGTATTTTGTTTTGATTCATAGAATAATTGTATACATTGTTCAAGAAGAATATTTTAAAAAATTCTATTCTATTTTATTCTATAATTGTTTATAAAGCCTAAACAATGGGTAATACTTCAAAAACTTATTCAAGTCAAAAATAAAATCTCTGTAGCACCTTATAACTTTAGAAATATTGAACCGAGGCTAACGAAATCACTCAGTAGACCTAATCAATTCAGTTCCTCAACTCGCCTTGTAGAGTTAACAAAAGATTACACGATGAATATTCTACAAATAATAACGTACAAACAGGGTTTATACTGTGAATTATTCTATTATTCACTAACTCCGGGTTAAAACTACATTTCTTACATCAAATTTTATTATTCAGAATATTTTGTATTATTTGTTCCGTATAAACACAAACAAAAACCAATTCTTAATTCATTGAATCGTTGAAATACAAATGAATAAACATTTTTATTGTTCTGTTTTTAAACAATCACATGATCTATGGTGTTAGTGTAAGAAAAAGCAATTCATTTTATTAAAAAAAATAATATTAAAAACGAGTAAAAATTATTTTTTCTTACTCTGTGTATCAACAAATCACTAATATTTTTCCAATAAATCAAATGAATTTTGTACATATAAATATGTAAAATCCTATCTCCGACATGATGTATATGAATTTGCTTTTTTCTTCCTTTATTCACCAAAAGACGTCAGCAAGACATTTTGTGTAAACTTGGTGAAAGACAAAAGGATGATGTATTTGAATCACAGGTAAGCTGCATTATCGATATATTGATTTTAATTTGTGTAATTATATAATATTGAATCTAGTTGATTATCCATTTCTATATTCTATAAATTTTTATGTAACTGATTTTTTTTCAAAACAGATTAGTTTTAATATTCAATGATTGAAATAACATTTTGAATTTGTTATGTATAAGAGTCAAAAATTTTATTTTATTGGTTATCAATATAACTTTTACATCATTAAAAGCTGGTAGTTTCAAAATTAAATGTATCGTTTTCATTGAAATCATAATTCGATCAATAGTAAACAACTATCGAAAACCTAGAAACACTGGATAGCTGTTTCATCCTAGTAGAAACCTCTTCAACAGTGCCTGGATATTTCACCCAAAACCTTTGATCGTGCGACAATACTTAACCTCTGTATCACTGAGTGAGAATCAAAAAGTTTTATTGCCTAATTTCAATCAATCCGCTTAACTGCACAACTAACTAAAATTATTTGCTTTACGCTTGACGCTCCACTAGTCATAGCTTCTCACTAGATTTCCGGAAGATCTGGTTGTCTGTGTCTTCTATCAAAATTTTTACAATCACCGGAAAACTTTGAGTTTTAATTGATAAAGAAAGGGATATCTACACGGTTTTTTTACTAATACCTGAAGGCTTGAACTTTAGTAAACCAAACAGCTTCTTACTTTCATATTGGAGACCCGTAAAAAATTACTTTTTTTGTTATTACATTCCATCTGTGACCACCTTAACAACAAACAAAGTTTATCAAAATTTCATCGTACTAGCAGACTTAAATATCTTCGAGAAAGTAAGAATTTCTCACAAAAAATTGAAATCACTCAAAATAAAAGGCAATGATGAAATCATCACCCATACTTTTGGGTAAAACTTTTCAAAATAGTGACCCTATCAAAAACATTTTATGTACACTTATAACAAGTGACAATGTACATCGTGAGACAATCTAGTGATTAATGCAGCATTTTGTAACACCAAAAGTTCGGTTTTGCTTTTCCGAGACTCATATGCTGAAAGGAAAAATTTGATTCATGAAACATTAAGCCTAATGAAAAGTGCTTCCAGAAATCTGTAATATTGTTAGATCCCCAAAATATACAAGTTTATACTACTCATGCGTCTGTTTGATGTATTTTAGTATCTAAATATTTAAGGAGTTCTGATGGTCAGCTCATTACTAGTGATGGTTCTCAAGGTACTTTGTTTTATAGACTGCGTACTTCAACGAAGCCGTAGAGTAGAAATAGCTAATCACCATTTTACACTTCTAACAAGTACTATTGGCTACTTTCCTAATGCCATTATGTTACCAATCTCATGTTAACCGTCAGTTGTTCAGTACTTCACTAAACTCTTCATTCCTTTATGTTTAGATAAAATCACATAAATGGAGATGGTAACCAGTTATGTAATTATACGCGACTATTAAATCATAAATTTATTGAACATATTGTTCTACCTAACCAATATATTTGTAATTTTTTTGTAATAATCATAAACTAATTTTCGAAGATTTCATGTTTTATCAGCGATAGGATTTCTGCGTTAGCTTAAATTCATCAAGTCCCTGAGAACATGATTAGGTGGCTGATGATCAAATATTCTAATTACAAAGCAAAAGTTCATATTAATTGAGATATTATTCAGTTCATAAAAAACCAAATACACAATATCGTAGAAATTCATAACAATTGGCAGTGATTATCACCAATCCACTTGAGATTAAATTATTTCAAAAAATTAACATCAACGAGTGACAAACTCGTGTTCTCAATTCAATGAATAAAAGCAAATCAGTTGAGATGAATTACTGAATTTATCAACTAACTAATTTAATAATATTTTGATTTATTAGTTTTCAATTCATTTTTTACAATACATACATACACACTTGTTTGTTTTTTTTGAAATTTATTTTATCCACCATAAACAGCAAACAAATCGATTGCAAAAGCAACGAATTCACAATATTAAACAAAAACTTTTTCAAGAATATGAAAAACTACAAAATTTGGCACACGATTTTCATTCATTGAAAATTACTAATGTAAATATCATTTCAAATATTGCAAATAATAATAACCAGAGTAACAGTTATCAAACTACTCTGAACAATTGTTATCAGAAGAAAGATAGTGTTGTCTTAGCAACTGTTCATGTGAGTTCAGTACTGTCGTATACGTTTATATATATACATATATGTTTAGTAATAATAATTATTATTTTTAAATTGTACTTTTATACACCAGAATTTACTTTTTAATCAATTTAAGTTTAAAATTTTTTATCTAAATTCATTCTAAAATAATGAGATGTTAAAATAAAGTATTTAATCGACATTTGAATAGTTTTGAACTAAAAAAATTAAGTAGAACTCCGTGAACGTTCTTTAACGTGTTTAATTGAATCGACATATATATGACTGTTGTCCGAACACTGTGGTGAGCAGCTGTAACATGTAGGATGACCATGTTAGATTATAATTAAATTATAGATCAATTATTGAACTGTGTTGTTTTTTAACACACCAGTTACTTCACCATTGTAATTATGTGTCATTATTTTTCTGGCACAGTTAGATAATTTGTCTGCTTCATTTAATTTGATTATACTTTTCAGAATAACATGATAAAACTATTCAAACCTTCACTTAACAGATAGAGCTACTTGAATAGTGGAATATTTTTGATATTCATCAAAACATTTTCACCGCTTAATAATATTACTACTTTTATTCTCTGTTATGGCAACTTACAAGATGAACTAGATTTAAATATGTACACTAAGACATAACAGTATCTTGAGAATGAGGTTTGCTTTTTACATATCAACTCATCACTCTTTGTCAAAATATTTTAGTTAGTCATTGCAATTCGCATCCTGCAATTTATATTACGTAACAAAACATCTAAAAACCGTTTAACTTGAAATTCGTAAATTATCGTTTAAAAAAATAGAATACTCACGACAAACTCTTATACATCTTTTCTGTTCCAAATTCACAATTTCTTGACCTTACAGTATTTAATGCAAACAATCGATTATTAAGAGAGTTCACCTGGTTTCTAAGCTCTCATTGTTACACCATTCATGGCATAAAATCCCTTTTGTTTTAAATACAGTTATAAAACACATCACATTCTAGGTACTTAAAACTAGTTGTAAACATTTGTAGATAGCTAATAAACACATAAATGTATAGCAATTGATCTAAGTAGAAATTATCATCACGCATTCACTTCTATTTTATGTTATGTGAATAAATAAATGAATTGAATGGTCAATTGTTTTACCAAATACATATTGAATATGGATGATCAAGGTCAACCTATAATCGGAGATAGATAAAAACTAACAGTCGGATCCAGGATACGCGTAATGTAACGTTTTGAACTTGTCAGAAGGATGTACCTGCTTCCCAGTGTTGATGTTCGCAACTGTAGTCGATCTCAATACTGTTCGCTTCCAACATAATCGCGTAATTCGCTTAGATACTTAGCTCAAACATCTATCAGCATGTGCAATCGGATGAAGTTTAATTCATTTGTATTAGTTATTTGAATCTTCCCACTGATGTTTAGGACTGCTATTGATCAGTCTCTTCCGGCATATGTTCATCCAATGTGGGTGGCCTCGATATTGTAAATAAGTTATTGACATTGTCCCTAATTCCATTGCCAGCCACTATCCATCTCTGCTCACAACGCTTATCACTTAATGGCTATATCGAGACAATCCGCAAATGATACATATATGCCAAAAGTGACCGATCGATTGCGATCCTAAAAATCAATGCAAAGATTCCAACAGCCCATACAAATGAATACAATATCTATCTTAGTATTTAAACTACATCTAGAGAGCATCTAAATATTCGTGAGAATATCAAAATTCACTCAGTAACAATATTTCTAGTTTTTGAATTTTCCGTTTAACAATGCATCATAATAGCAATAATAGATGATTTGTAAAATATTGTTTTATTACATAAAAACGGTTTGATATGTAATTTCTTTTTCACTCAGCTATGAAGTAACTAACTATGCCAACAATTGTAAAATTGCAATTTATACGAGACTAATGATGTAAAAAATTTGGGCGTTGCATAAAGGATATTTATTATTGCTAAAAATATAAACTTTACCAAAGAGTGGAAAAGACAAAATTGGTTACGTACATATTTAATAGGATAGGACAGAACCAGCATAAATCTCTGATCAATAATGTTGAAACCATAAATAAGTTAACAACATTTGAAAAACCTCGTGATAATACCCATTTGAATTTTGCTTAAAGAACAAGCCAGTAAGCTTAAAAAACTGAACGACTAAATAAATCAATCCTTTTTTGTCTGTACACAGTGTTTTCTTCCTTTCTTAATAAACAAAATTAACTCATGACACAATAAAGTAAATAAATTTCATAAAAGATTGATCAATCAAAAATCGATATATTTATTAAATTGACCTATTAAAATACAGTTGATTGAAAAATTACTGAGAAATTTGATTTGAATAAGTTTTGTCAAGGTAGACTGTTAAAAGGAAAATATGGATTGCTGTTACGTTTCCAGTCGAATGTCTATAAATATATATATATATATATATATATATATATATATATATATACTTTACAAAATAAACCGTTAAGATTATCAACTAGTTGTTAAAAGTAATTCATGTGTTGATAAATGGTGGATTTACTCAATCGTATTATTTTACAAAGATGATTAAAGTTAAGCCAAAGTATTGATGAATATATTCAACAGTTTAGCGTCTTTAACTAGATCTCAACAATAGTCTTGATAATAGGCTTGCAATTTTTATGTGATTTTAAGCCTGGACCTATTGACTGATAATCAAAGAAGTATTCTTACATTTATCTGAAAGAAAACTCGACAGTTTATGATAGATTGTAGATTTTTTAATTTCATAATTGTAGCGTTAAGTGTTGAATTCAGGTCAAAAATAATGCGTAAAAGTTAACCACTTTTACTCTTTTGTGGATCAAATCAATTAAATTTGAATACAGTTTTAACAACGAAAGAAAATAAACCGGACTACTAATAAAATTCATGAAGAGGTGGCTTTAGTTTTATACCTGAAATGACACTAAGGTCATGATCTCCAGTTCTGACGATAGGATCAATTCCCGTCAATCATTAAAGCGTTATTAATCTGGTAATTTTCGAACGTCAGTTAACTCTTGATGCAATGGAATCGTAATCAAACGTCAATCCTAGGTAACTGCTTTACTCCTAATACAATAACTGCTAAAAATCAGTGTTTCTTGCCAGAATTCTAGGAAGTCCAACTCGTATCTAGCTAGCAATTATGTACAATAATTGTATAGATAGAAAATTTGTGAAGAGTGCATATACTAATCTTCTCGGAGTGTAAAAAGTTTTATCATCATTACTAGTAAGGGTTCAAACTATCTTATTGTTAATATTTGGAACTGAGTTTGCAACTAGTCTTTGTTTTCAAATGTGGACTCTGCACAGATTGCATCGGAATACCGGTTTTGTCATAAGGTTTTACAGAATGGATGGATTTTGGCTAGTAGCGTAATCCAGGTCTCACGTTTCGTCCTTTATGAGACTCGCCAGCTGGATCAGGACACCAGTGTAAGCATCAACAGTGATATACATCTAGGATCGAACTTTTATTATGTTTATCTTCCAAACGGATCTCTTGATAATCCCTATTTTAGTCTCAAGTTTTAGCATATATGAAATTTGAATATCAATTAAGGAAAAATGTTATCATTTACAACTAAACGTCATACCAATAAAAAACATGGTAAATAATGGGTTGATTTTTGAGTCTTTGGATACTGAATCAGACTCTTAGCAGAAAAATCAACATTGAGTTGTGAATATGTCCAGCTGATTAGTCGTAAATTCTATCACACGTGTGATATTATTCTACTCCATTGTCCAATCGAAATGAAGAACTGTTTTGTAAATAATCGTTCAACTGTTTTCTATATTCCTTATTATATTTTACCTAATTTCTTTTTCTTCAAACTATGTATTTTTTTGTTTCAGCAGTCATTGGAAGAAAGTAATAACAATACCAAAAACCCTGATCATAATCACGTCCATGGTAAAGAGAAAACATGCAATAACAACAGTGATAATCTTGAAAGGTAATTCTACTCAGGGTTTTCCATTTTTGTCCTTCAAATGTATCATTCTTAGCATATTCCATTCATACTGCCTTGTATTAAACGTATTTATGTGTCTCTATTCCGTTATAAACACCATTATTTTCATGGTTTCTACGTAGTGAAGAAAATGAGTGAAAACTATTCTGTATCAGTTTCGTAGAAACACAAGAAGTAATTGTCAATGTACCATGATAATCTGCTGAAGTGTTTGACCAATACAAATGAACAGCCAGAAAATATTATAACATAAACATAAGTGTATATATATATAAACTTATAACTAAGACAAAGTATCAAAGTAATCCATTCAGGATGTCAGTATAAAAACGCACACTAAATAAATCCAGCCCAAATTACTGACAACAGTATGTCACTGAACCATTACTGAATGTTGATACTATTTGAATACAAACATCCTTGAATTCAGGCATTGGTCTTTCATAACAAGTATAAAAGCCTTCCTAATTAAGTTATCTATTTATAAACTTTGATGGTTACTTTTTCCACGGCTAAACTAATCCACAATATATTTATATCTACGTAGAGAGAGATATATCGATTTTTGTAATGAAGGTGAGGATATCAAATTTTATTTAGAATTAAGATAACTGAAATCTATTATAACTGTTTTAAATTTGTTCGTGTATGACAGTTATTTTTCAAATATTACCATATTCAAATATTACACATATTTTCTACGTTTTCTACGTTCAATAATTAATACATCAAAATTAAGAATAAAATCAACATTTATTTGATGCTTAAAAATTGAATTGGTAGTAGAGCGGTAAAAATAAATACAGTTTGTATGATCTTTCTTATCAAAAACCATTGTCAACAAATAATTGGTCCAATCTAAACGAAATTTCATTTGAATACTCTAAAGATTCCCTTTAGCCTATTATCATATATCACTAATATTTAAAAAAACAGTGTCTTAATTTAGTAATTTTGAATGTTTTGTAGAAAAAAGGCAGTCTAGAAATTATGATTAACGGCACTTATTGCATGAACTAATAAAATTTTAATTTTAAAAGGTAAATCCAACCATAGAATACCACCGTCACTTATATCATTTCATCGATTTTAAAACAGTGAACATGTTACAGTTTGTTGTTTTTGTTGTTGTTGTTATTGTCGACTTTTGGGCTGATGTTGCCAAAAAATCAATAGACGGTAATCAAAATTAGTCATTAATTATTCGTCGACAAGATATGATTTATTTCTTATCTAATAATAATATGCTCATTCGATCTTTTGTATTTATTTACACAATAAACAAAATATGACTTTCAAATTTAAACAGTTTTGAGGTTGAAGATGCTAGATTGTCGTAAGAAACTAATCATTGAACAGAAATTAAATTACAATTTTGTATCATTTCAACAAAGAATTAACGATAATTAATAGATAGTCAATAACACCAAAGAATATCCTTTTCATAAACATATGGTCAAATGAAGACGTCACAGAGAGTTAGATAAAGAAACCTTTTATGTTTGCTTTAAGAAACGGTCTATACAAATTAAAGTTCGGACCTTCTTAAATAATTAACCTTTGATTCGAAGTTCTGTACAATACAAGCCACTGATTTAGGACACATCACTGTACATTTAACAGTCGTCACCTTGCTCTTCTGGAGCAGACTGTTCATATTAAGGCGCTTCAAAACATATCACTAAACATTACTTTTCCTCGCTATCAAAAGATCCCAAAAAAAGTCAGTCACTAGTTCAAGACTGGAACATCTCGGAAATTCTTTTTACCTTGTTTTACCTGAGTTCTCCTCCGAAATCATTCAAATAGGAAGTAGTTCTCAAAAATTACATATTAATAATTCATGTAGAGCAAATGATATAGCTATTCATCAGGTGTAGCCTAATTTTTGTGCAAAAAATAGAATATAGCCAACGTTTCAGTCTACTGCTGCTTTTAACTTCTTTACATGTCTTCGTTTCACATTATTCTACTGGTCTATACTCTTATCTTTTCACAGTTACTTATTAGTTATTATAACAACATTTACTTATTCTGTTTTTTATATTCATTAAATAAACATTTCTTATCAGCCACCGGATCAATTCATTTCTCTATTTGATGTCTTTACGAACAATTTACGATACTAAACCAGCTGAACTTCATACTTTTTTTTAAAAATTATGCGATACTTTTTTATTTGATCACTCGTTCATTTGATATTTAAGACTTGTTATTGCAGATAATGTTTTTAAAATTGTACAGTATGTTAATTTTTGTAAAAAATAAAAAGAGACTATTAGTAATTAGTATCAGCGAAAACAGAAAAATATTTCTCTTCTTTAAATAGTGTTTATATAGTTGTTTATTCATTTAGAGTTTTGTCATGTATCATAAGTACCAAGTGATATTTCTCATACCATATAGTAACAGCCACTCATATTCTGATATAAACAGAAAACACTGTCTTAGTTGACTTCAAACATTTTTATACATACTTTTCTGCAAGTACAGTTGAAGTCTCAACTTTTTACCATTATCCGAAAAGATTACTACTCTACAATATCGTAGTCTGTTTGAAAGCATTACACCAGTAAACATATAAAACGCTTACAATCTAAACGATATGAAGTTGTTTTCGTAGTAAGCTTTTCTCTTGATTATTTAAATTACAAATCACGTAAAAAAAATGGTTGGATATATATATATTGGTTTTGTTTCTGGAACAATTATATCATTTAACTCACACACTGTATTTTTTGACATCTATTGTTGTAATCACATGTCCACAATAGTATGTTAAATCCTTATCTAAAAAAGCATGATAACTGATCTAAAATATTTTCATGAAATCTATGCACTGTCACATAAAATAGACACGTCATAATTATTTAGATTTTGATGTGATTTCTTATTTATTAGTGTTTTTCCCCTTAAATTCAGTCAACTGGACAATACTGTCAATGTACAGGAAATCATAGAACTTAGAAAACAAAAACTTCTCATTTGTGAAGCTTATCAATGTCATTATCAAAATATATTTAAGAAATTGACAATTTATCAACAATTACTCAATGACCAAGTAAGTTTTTTCCAATTTATTTCACATAATTTTGTTAGACAATCATTTATTTAAATTACTAGTTTAATTATATGCTTAAATGTTAGAATGTGATCAACACTTAATGCTAACTATGTAACTTTATATGAATCAATTTTTCATCACTTTGATTTAACCTGACTATATTTTCCTTAACAAACTTCATAAAACTAATAATGACAGTAGACTACAAAATGACAGAACAGTTTGTTCTTTTAATAGTATGATTTGATTGAGTGCCTGCAACTCTTCTACTCATCCATATCCATCTCATCGATTTATTATTGAACATTGAATTTGCATAACTGAAAAAGAAAAAACTGAACCACTCATTTGGCAAAACAGTAAATAACAAAAATCTCTAGTTTTCTTTCGATTCTAAATCGTCAGATCTTAACAACTCATCTTGCCTAAAGAACTTAATGATTAAGCTTAATTATTTCAAGTATTTATATCCAGAAATTCCTACAAAACTGACCATTCGCCATGATATATTGTAAACAAAGTATTTTTTTGCACGATTTGTGTTTTATAATTCCCATGACATTTGTTTAACCGGTAGATCTGCGGATAAAAGTTCGTTTGAATTGAATAAATCATTACTAATCCTTTATCAAAATTCAGTAAATAACCTCGATCATTTCTAAACGATGTTTTTTTTAATCGTTCTCTATTACAATTGTATAAAATATTTGATTAAACTTTCTTAGTCAACTAACATAAAATTAGTCTAATTTAAATCTAACGCATTGCTATAACCTCATCAATTAAAATAAGTGTCATTTACAAAGATTGTTTAATTTTGTAAAAGTAATAAAGGTTTTACTTCAAATTTTTAATGCAAACAGAAAGAAGACCAACAATAAATTTATACTTTAGATTTGTTCAGTATTGACCTTTTCCAGTTCAATACAATGACTTTTATTTTTTAAACAACACCTGTTTACATTTATTTCCTTTTCTAATCCTTTTAACTAAAGATTTATCAAAGTTTTGTCCTTAATTCAACTTACCTCAAATGTTCACCATTGATAGATTACTTATCTGATTGCTAAATAAATAGCAACATATTATTTTGCAAAAACCCCGTTAGAATAAGTCAGGCAAGTAATTATATAGCCATGTATCTGATAATTAATAGTTGGAGTAGTTGCATTCTCTTTAGCTCTATAAAGCATCGACATGTATATTATGTCAGTTGATCAATGTGAAGCTATAGATGATGACATTAGTAAAACCTTAAAGTCTACATGATCATATGATAAGAATAAAAATCTGATTTTTAAATATTCAGTTTGAATTTTCAAGTATTAGGAATTGTGACAACTTCTGGGCATTTTGATAAAGTATGTGGAAAAGTAATGCGACTGACAAACCAGTCAGTTAGCTACAACGTAGAACTTCGTTCGCACGTACATCAGTTCAATTTGCAAGACCACATTCGCACAGAGAAGCAATTGTCAATTCAAATCCCATAGTAGCAGAGGAAGTAGAAGTATTAACAATAATCAAAAAGATTATTGATTAAAGACGCCATTCGAAATTTATACCCCAGAGAAATCAATTAAAAAGAGAGAAAAGAACAGTCTTGAGTAAATAAGAAGATTGGATTTGCGTGCCATGTTTTCGTTTCTCCACGCCTAAATTTCCTCCAACCTATTCATATATTGTACACCATAGCTCGACGAGGCAGTCTATGGTTAGGCATACGCAACACATATCCTAAACACCTCGACTGATGACGTTTTACTACTTCATCTGTTGGTCTGCCACCTTTACCTAGGACTCGTTTCTTAACAACAGCATTGCTTACTCGGTTGTACCAGGCTACACGAGCATTGCTTCTAAGATATCTATGATCGAATACTAGTAACCTACGAATATCTCCTACTCTCACTGGCCATGTTCCGCAGGCATATATTAGGACGGAGCGAACTGCTGCACAGTACACTAGTCCTTTGGTTAGCGAACGGATATTTTGCCTATGCCACAAGTGACGCAAGTTGGCAGGAGCCAATCGAGCTTTCTGTATCTGTGCAGAGATTTCTTCAGTCACAAGGCTATCAGCACTGATGAGACTCCTCAGATAAGTGGGGCAGTCGACATGCTCGACTACTTCACTCCCTATCATTAACTAGTTCAGGCGCCAACGAAAGCCAATCTTGAAGCAAAATGTTGCATTTCGAGGAGGAAACCGCATACCGAACATGCTTGCATTATTGCTTAGGGTGGTCAGGAGACACTGCATTTTGTTGGCGTCTTCACCAAGCAGAACCATGTCATCGGCATACTCTAAGTCAACAGGCGATTCTCCTGGCAGAAGATCCACCGCTGAAAAGCCAGATCAAGGCTTTTTATCAGCCTGTGACTAAGCTGACTTCGCTCTTCATCATGTTCCCAGGCAGGTGGGATGAGCCTTCGAGCATCTATCAGTTTGCTGGATGCCACTGAGATCCACAGCTTATCCCTAACCTTGTAGTTTATCTTACCGGCAGATTTCATTGCTGTTTCCATAGCTTTTTGGAAAAGTTTCTGTGAAACTCATCTTTCATCTCATCCGAGCTGCAGTCAGTGGGAGCATACGCCTAAACAATGAAGCGACTGCTGATGTCCTTATCTTTACGAGTTCTCACTGTCTCGTTTAGTCGGACGGTGCATAAGCAACTGTCTACCGTGAACCAATCTAAGACAGCTAGTCCCGCCATAGGACCCAACGCTATAACTACACCAGCGAGGTCACGGGAAGCAGCGGCAGGGCTTCTAGATACACGAAAAGTAAACCGAGTTGGCTCTCTGGCTGCAAAAGGTGATGATGATTTTACTCGGATCCTGTATGAGCATTTCAAAGACACAGCCTGTTGCCCTATTGTACACAGTTCGAACATTCAAAGCTCTAATATGTAGTTTAGAACGAGGTTCCAGGAGATGAGGAATAACGTTTAGTGAGCTCGAAACTTTTGCATCAGCGGCGCGAGGTGAAAAAGGGACGAAGTTTTACGTTGCTATTGATTGGTCGGTCGAGGAGATAAGAGAGTTATTAGGAGTTGTGGAAAGGATTTGATTGTGACTGGTGTGGTCTCGCAATCTTTTCTGGTATGAGGGTGGATGTTGCTTCTCGGTTGCTCACACCGTGGAAGTGTGCTGGTTGTCAGAAAGGGCATCGGCCTCGTAACTTCAGAAGGAACTCGGCTTTCATCATGAGACGTCATAGCTCTTCTGAAAGAAGACCTTCTAACTCCCAGAGCAGAGTTTAATTGATTGAATTATTTTGCTTGGTAGCGTTTTTAGCGAGTTAGTTTTCTATGGATTAGGGTCGCCAACTCCAAGCCCAACCCCTCTCCTTTATCCGGGCTTGAGATTGGCTGTAGCCTCAGAGGAGCTCCAGGTAGAGACATATATTTGGTTGAAATAAACCAAATACATGGAAAATTATCACAGTATGTTAATATTCGGAATACATTTGATTAAGATAGATATTTAGTTTCACCTAGTGTTTTATGCTAACTGATTTGACACTTATGTACGTTGGATATAAATAAACAGACATTTAACAAGTGCTTAATCACTGTATCAAGAAACATCATCTCACATTTTATTGACTGGATAAATAGTTTTTCAAATTTGGAATTCCGTTTTAATATTATCTAAATAAAATGTTGTTTAGCCGTGACCACCAATACTGCTTGCCAAGTTCTCAACTTGATCGCAATATCCAGTGAACCGCTCAAGATGCATATTGTCGTTACGTAGACCAACCGATATTCATTCTAGAACATTCTGTCAGTCAGTCAGCTACAACATAGAACGTCATACGTACGTACATCAGTTCAAGTTGCCATACCACATTAGCAAACAGAGATCTAATTATTTATTCAAATCCCATAATAGTAGAAGTAGAAACGGTAATCAGAAAGATTAGGGATCAAAGATATGTTTTGAGAAGTATATCCTAGTGAGATAAATTTCAAGAGAGAAAGATAAAGGTTACAAGGAATTGAGAAGATTAGGATTTGAGAGAAAACAAAGAATGGATGCATCTGCGCCACCGCACACGATTTTCATCCATGTCATTCAAAGTCTCTAACCATCGTTTAATATTATCTCCCGGACCCCATCCACTTAGTTTAAACCTATTATCCTCCCAGTCACTTCGAAAGTTTATATGTCTGTAAGTAGCTTACAGTATGTTCAGTTGAATAGGCCTAGTAGTTCTTACATTGTTTCATCTTCTGAATCGTTTACTTAGTAACAACAATATATTCCAGTCAATATCAGACTCATTGAATTTAACTACATTATCTTTACTACTCGTAAGTAAGCAATAAATATAAGACAAATTGAAAACTTGATTGACCTTAGACTGAGAAAACTTACAAAACTACCATCTACCGTAACATTTGATAAAAAACAAAATGCTACTGCTCTAAGCGCACCACGTAGTGCTGATGGTCTTGGTAAGCTTTATTTAAACACTTCATGATATCTAGAAGCTTATAAATAATTAATCGGAATACAGATATTAGGTAGGGACAAACTGTATGTAGTCTAGTCATTCATAAATTACCATATTCCGTCACTCCCTCTAGACACTGATAAACCAGAAAAAACTATAAAGAACAAAAAATGGCAGCCATAGTGGATTACGATAACGAATATAATGGTTCCTGTCCCATTTCGACGTATTGTCCGGTCCAGGGTCATAACAGCAAAAGACAATGGAGTTTCTCCCCAATCATGTCACTGCAATTTTTGGTGTTTCATGGTGATGGAATATCTTAATATATGGATGAGTTGATAACGTGGAATTTAATCCTACCAACGTTTTGCATTTCTAATTGACATTTGAATAGTAACCAGGTATGGATCCCCTGCCCGATGTTTGATGGTCGTCTATCGATTACTAAGTTCAATGTAGCTGACATGAAGTTTTAAAGAAATATTAAAAGCCTTTAGTGTCACTGTTAATTGCTTAGATTTATTCTCCTGAAAATCATCAGTCTGTTAAAACAATTTTGGCTTTCATTATGTCCATTAAAGCAAACATATAATTTCTGACCTGAATAGCTTAGCCTTAACGGGCTCTGTAATACTGATTAATATATATTCGTATAAGCGAAATATTAAAGAATTGTTGAAATTCTACATACACCTTGATGTTTGGCGCTAGCAATCTAATAATCGTAAGCTCAACTCTATAAACCTATGATCATCACTGTAAATTATTTGATTGTATTTAATTGCAATCAAAATTAACTCGTAAAATTGACATGAAAATTATTGCTTTCAATAGTTCACTGAACTTACAGAAATTCTTCAGCAATTCCATGAGAAACAGTAAAAGTGATTTGAAAGCTAGATTGTATCAGATAATGATGATTATTGGTGTTCTGAGAACTAACACACTCAAGACAGCATTAAGACGTAACTGTGTACCGTAGTTTCCAGTGCTTCTTTGATTAGTATTTGTTCGTGATTGAAACTATCTTCAAAAATGTATGGAATCTTAAATTATCACTTCTAATTACTAGAATTAAATGTAAAATTTACCAATATATCATTAAACAGTTGTTGTTAATATCATAACCGACTTCTTTTGTTTTCATTTTTTTCGCTTAACAGATATGTGAAATGCGCGAGTGTGATATCACTGAAGACACGGTAAATTTCAAAGAGATTTTCATTTTCTGTTTTGAATGGTCCCTATCACACAAATTTACAGCATAAACAATAGATATTTTCCAAAAGAACATTATTTCAGCCACTCATAATTTATGTATATCTTTTTCTATCTGTCCCAATGAATCTGATATCATTTGAATCTATTTGATGATAAGAATAAAGTATACAACGTCGAAATCAACATAAAAACCACACTGGACAATAAACCAGTCTTACCAGAGTAGGTTAAGATTATGAACAAACTGTTTTCGAACGCAAAAAGATGGTTTCAACTTTCATGCAATCAAAAATTCATCATTATTAACTTTAATATAATAAAATCAGTGCATTGTCTAAAATAAAAGTCTGGTAGTGATTGAGAAATTATACTTTGTTTTCAGATTATCTCTTTTATCTTTTAATTTAACATTGAACTGGCTATCGTAATATAGTCTCTTGAGAATTTCATCCCTTTTATCCACTAATTTATTTATTAAATTTGTTTTTCTTACTCGGTAAATAATTATTCGAAAACTTAAATTCTGGGACACCAAGAAATGCAAAATTTATTACGGCCTTCAGTTTTACGATTTTTTTATTTGCTTTTTTTTACTGATGAAGCCTGAAAATAAGTTGTTTTCGAATGCTTCATAGTAATATTTCTTAATGTGAATAAATGTTTGCATCTGAATGTAGACTGTAACGAAGAATGCATATATGATTATGGGATAGTGTTATCCAACTATCTATCCTGCTCTAAAACTCCAGGATCTACAGTAACTGACCACCTAATAACAACCAGTCCAATAGTTTTTTTAATCTTTAATGTTAATCAAACTACATTTCTCGGGCAATAATCTAATCTGGATCCTGAGTAATCTAACACTGTAATGCACTTAGTTCTATATTATGTGATTAAATCATCAATTTCATCAAAACTATGATAGCATTCAATTGATGATTGCTAGATAGTACAAAACTAAGGCCTTCATTCTCATGATGATTGATTTTCTAACCATCTTTCTTTGAATATTTATTAGTGTACATTTTTCTACACAAATTAATCTATACATATTTATCATTTTATGAAGTAATTTTTCAATAGATGATGATTTAGTAAATATTTTATTATGCATTTACTAATTTTCAGTATTCATCTTCCCGACCAATCAAATCAGTTGTTCTATCTAATTTCGATGACAATACTCATAGTTTGCATTCATTCAACTCAGAGTATGACACAAAGAAATCATTGAAATTTCATAAATCAATTTGTAAAGAACATGAAATCTTATTGAAAGAAGCTAAAAATCAAAATTATAAACTTTCAATGGAACTCAGTGTTCTTAATGCAGAGTTAAGACATTTGATTAGTCGACCAGAAAGACAATTATTTAACTATCTGAAACAGTTGTAAGTAACTTAATTATACAAATATAAATTGTTATTTTAACCTTTTTCGCCTATCTATCTACAATGATTGGATACTTTAAAAGTGCAATCATTTCATCCTATTCACATAAATAAATAAAAAAAGTAGAAACAATTTAGAACAATCTAAATTGCAATGAGTTGGATAGTTTTATGAAGCTTTCTTAGCGTGAAGATGATGTTCATCGAGAACCGATATTAGTTAAAGAACTAATAAAAAGTGTAAATAACTGATCGGTATTTTAGTTTTTTATAGTACTCCTCAGAAGAGTATACTAAACACTTCATAAAGAACTAAATGTAACGTTTTCACAACTTTTGGTCAACTTATTACTTAATGTGGTTTATTGTCTAACTTGTAGTGTCTCCACATATATTCCAGTTCGCTTACATCTAACTTGGTCCAGCTTACTTACTTACTTACTTACACCTGTTATCCCCAATGGAGCATAAGCCGCCCACCAGTTTTCTCCAACCAACTCCATCCTCGGCTTCCCCTTCTGGTTCTTTCCAGTTTTTGTCCACTCTTCTCATGTCTTTCTCTATTTCTCGGCGTAATGTATTCCTTGGTCATCTGCAAAGTCCAGATCGTCCAGCTGCGTCCTAACTGTCCAGTTGATACCGTGCTTCCCTCAAGATGTCGACTTCTTCATAATCCAGTCGATGACCAGGAGAAAGAGAAAGGGTGAGAGTAAGCAACCTTGCCTGACACCGGTCTTCACCTCAAACGAGTTTGTCAGCTGACCTCCGTGTACGATTTTGCAGTTGAATCCATCATAAGAATTTCGTATGATGTTGACTATTTTCTCAGGCACACCGTAGTGTCGAAGAATCCTCTACAGTGTTTTCCTATCTACGCTATCAAATACCTTCTCGTAGTCGATGAAGTTGATGTAGAGTGGTGAGTTCCATTCTATTGATTGTTCCACAATGATCCGTAATGTAGCAATTCGGTCAGTACACGATCGATCCCTACGAAATCCGGCCTGTTGATCTCGAAGTTGGGCGTCTACGAAGTCCTTCATTCTGTTTAACAATACCTTGTTGAAGACTTTGCCTGGTACTGAAAGAAGAGTGATGCCTCTGTAGTTCTCACACTTGCTGAGATCGCCTTTCTTTGGTATTTTGATGAGGTATCCTTCTTTCCAATCTGATGGTACTTGTTCCTCATCCCAAATCTTGTTGAAGAGGATGTGAAATATTTTCGCAGTTGCTTCTACATCTGCTTTCATTGCCTCTGCTGGAATGTTGTCTGGTCCTGCTGCTTTGCCGCTCTTGACTTGTCTGATGGCCTTACTGATCTCCTCAATCGAAGGTGCGCCAATATTATTTGGGAGGTCCGTGGATGCTGCTTCAATGTTGGGTGTGTTCAGCGAAGCTGGTCGATTCAAGAGTTCCTGAAAGCGCTCAACCCACCTATTTCTCTGTTCTTCCGTGTTGCTGATTACTTTGCCTTCTTTAATTTTCACTGGTCGTTCTGGTTTACGATAGTTCCCGGAGAGCTTCTTTGTTGTATCGTACAATTGTCTCAAACTTCCGTCTCTTGCAGCCTTTTCCGCCGTCATTGCTAGTTCATCCACATATTTATGTTTGTCAGCTCTGATGCTCTTCTTCACTTCCCTGTTTGCTTCTGTGTATGCAGCTTGTGCGGTAACTTTCTCTGCTCTTGTTCGGCTGACATTCACTGCTGCCTTCTTGTTCCTCCTTTCCTCAATTTTTGCAAGAGTATCAACAGATATCCAATCCTTGTGATGGTACTTCCTGCGACCCAGAACTTCGTGACATGTTGAAGTGATTGCCTCCTTAATCCCTTTCCAATTGTTCTCCAATGTTGCGTCCTCTCCATTAAGTATATCGTGCAAGGCCTGGAACCTATTGGTGAGGGCTATCTTGAATTCGTTGAGTTTTACGGTATCCCGAAGAAAGGCTGTATTAGACTTGTGTGATTTTGTCTGCCCCGTTATCCAGTGTTTCTTGAGTTTCAGTTTCATTTTGGAGATCAGCAAGTGGTGATCTGAGGCTATATCAGCTCCCCTCCTGGTTCTCACATCCTCCATAGTCCTTCTGAACGTTTTGTTGATACAGATATGATCAATTTGGTTTTGAGTAGTGTGGTCCGGTGAAATCCATGTGGCTTTGTGTATGTGTTTGTGCGGAAATATTGTGCCACCGATGACCAGTTTGTTGAAGGCACATAGGTTTGCAAATCTCTCACCGTTTTCGTTCCTTTCTCCCAGTCCATGTCGTCCCATGATGTCTTCATATCCAGTGTTGTCCATGCCAACCTTGGCATTCAGGTCTCCCATAAGAATCGTCAAATCCTTTGGTGAAAATTTCTCGACGATTGACTGCAGCCTTTCGTAGAATTGATCTTTAACGTCGTCATTGTAGTCATTGGTAGGTGCATAGCATTGGATGACGTTCATTGTAATGTCCTCTTTCTTTGCTTTGAAAGATGCTTTGATGATCCTGGGTCCATGAGATTCCCATCCTATCAGTGCCTTTTGTGCATGTTTGGACAGCATCAGTGCAACTCCTTGTGTATGTGAAGCATTTTCCTCTTCATGACTAGAGTATAACAGCAGTTCCCCTGAAGCTAATCTCAGTTGTCCTACCTGTGTCCAATGCGTTTCACTGATCCCGAGCACCTCGAGGTTGTATCTTTTAATTTCTGCCGCAACTTGAAATAGTCTTCCAGTCTCCCACAATGTACGAACGTTCCATGTACCTAAAAGAATGGTTGCTGTGGTTGTCAGAAGAGGCATCGACCCCGTGACTTCCGAGGGAACTCGGCTTTCATCACGCGACGTCTTAATTCTTCTTCCAACTCCTAGGGAAGAGTTAAAATGGTTTGAAATAATTTTTTAACTTTGTCAAGCCCTTTCGGTTAATTTATTTAACCAAGCCATTCGTATTGCAACAATTTCTACGTAGCATTCGTTCTTATTATTGTCTGGTTTGCATGAGCTCATGTGACTTGTCCCACTTGTCTTTTGACCTTGTCAACCATTCGTTGCTTTTATTCATGTCTGTTCATGATTGTCTCGTTAGTCACATGTCTGTCCTATTTTTGTCTGACTATATATTCTTGTCATGCTCTATCTCTTTGAATTGGCTCATTAGCGTTCTCCACATCGCTTCTTCGCTTCGCTTTGTGGTGTGCTCCAAATAAACGTATTCATCACTACTAGTTCACCTGATATATAACCGTCAGACGCTAAGTAGCAGCGATTGTTTAGACGAGCTAATCACGAAGCTTAAGAACACGTGGAAATCGATACACTACAAACTTGTTCAGAATTCACATGCCGTTTCATCATTCTTCGGATAACCCATAAATAGAAAAAAATTGAGATATTCAATGTCTTTTCGTTTTATATTTTGTTGCTCTTAGCCCATAAATAAAACTGTACACTTAAAGTTCCATCCTGACCCAATGGTCAGTGATCGAATCAGAGTAGATACTAATATACTGCATAATTTGTCAACTTGCAACTGTAATCAATTTCTCTGTAAACATTTTAACCCATTTTTTCAAAAACTAGTGAACAAGATGGCGTGGCGTGTACTAAAATGTCGAGCCCACATGGCTTGTCCCAGCCTTTGGACAAATAAATAATCCATTCTTCTCGATTTATTCACATGTCTTTCAATCTTGTCTCTAATTCTCTCATAACTTCGGTTACTGTTATTTGAGTGTGTTCATTGATTACTTCTCTCATTAGATATCTAGCCTATTCTTTTCTGACTAGAAATAATTAGTCACACCTCATTACACTGAGTTGACTCGCTCGCCTTCTCCACTGCCCTTTGCTTTGCTTGTGCGCTTTACATTCTTATGTCTATCTGCGTAAATACTTGCATGAATTAAAATCATCCAACTAAATCCGTATTCGGCTTCTTATTACGGCCATCGCACAATCTGGGTTCCCCTTAGTATGATATAAGAAAATTGAAAGATTTATTTCATGGAATATTCAATTATTCGAACGAATTACAGTCAGAATTCGGGCCTAAAAGTATATCTCAGTACAAATATTATTACATCCTCAGCTTTGTCATAGGTTTCATTTCTCTAGTTCAAACCAACTCAAACTGTGACACTGATCTCATGATGGTTTTATTTCAACTGAATATATTACAACATCGATAAACGAATATGCTTAAATTTTTATTTGAACAACTTAATGTAATATTTTTAGAGTGAGAAATGAAAGTACCTAGTTTGTATCTACAGTTTTTGACCATTAAATAAAAACATCGGCAGCGATTCACTATATAAAACATCCAACAAGGTCGGTAGTAGTTTAGCAGTTACATCATTCATTTTCCAACCACTGCTAAGCACCATTGAACCTACTTTGATTTAAGAAGCAATATAGTATCACCAACTTTTACTCTCAAAAGTATAGCTGAGAATTGAATACATAAAGTACAGATGAGTGGTGGTTAGCAATCGAATCCAAGACACATAATTCATCTTATTTGGAACTAGTCAGCTGATCAATTACAACATAAAAAAGAAAAAATTCAAACAACCATTAAAAATAAATGATTACATGAATTTGTATACGATTATTGAGTTGCATTATGTCATAATTATCCATTTTTCTTTTTATTATTAATAGAGAATCATCTAAAGCTACCAATGATAACTTGCATCGTACAACTCAAAATTTAGAAGAACAAATTGCTAGAAATCATAAAGAATTAGAAGATGCTAAAGTAGGCCATTTTATTGTGAATAGATTTTCTTATTTGTTATTTTAACTCTGAATTCTTTTTCTTCTTTATTAAATTAAAGAAAGGAAAGGAAATCAAATGATGTATTCGTACTCTTGTCAAAAGTGTTCTGTTGTTGTTGATTTTTTTTCATTTGGAATAATATTTCATTAACTATTTAAAGATCGATCAATGTTAACGAAATCCTATGTTTACCACCAATAAGAATTCTAAGTGTTTACTCAGATAAAGTGATTCCTAAATAAAAGATAACCAACTGGCAGTGTTGTTTATCAATTAAATTGTACTTTTACAGTCCGTAATTTAATCCATTGTTGTTTTGGTCAGTATGCTTTCAATACAAGTAGAGTTCAGTGAAAGAAATTAGTGAAAATTTATCCGTCCATTTTAAAAAAACATAAACAATTTCACTCTGATTATCAGATAAGTTGCAGAAACAAATTTGTATATTGTCAAGCAACATTTGTGAAACAGTGTCTGCAAGTAACGATTATGTGTACTTTTATTGGTCATGAAAATGGGACAGCAATAACGAATTCTCCATACTCTGTTTTAATTTCTTCGTTGAGAAAAAAAAATTCATTGTCTAATTCTGAATAATAATTGCGCAAACGAAATTATCCTACAGCTCAATTCGGAATTCTCTTCTAAATCGTTTCATTTATAAACATTTTCGTCTCAAATTTCAAGGTATCTTTTGAAACGAATCTTAAGGATTCTATGCGATAACTCACCGAATGTGTTATTTCTTTCTACAACATGTCCTCCATTCACTGATAAGGTTGGTTAAGAACCAGCTTTATATCGTCTTTTAGTGAATAGTAAGTATTCTATGAAACTGTCAATGATACCAGTCAACATTCAGCTAGACTAAATTATTCTAACTGAATACTTGAAAATTTGAATATTTTACCAATTTATTCACACAGCTACACTAGAGTGTAATAAAATGCAAAGTTACTTTCTTATTAATTGATCATATTCTACTTACAAAATTTAAGTAGTACCTATATTTCCAAAAAAATTAAATATTAATTGTCACTTCCTTTAAGTTGAGTAGAAACCAATATGAACAACGAATATATTAGCATGATGAATATAGCTTATAGATTGAACGAATGCTTATGTATCATTGAGTTCATTGAACTAGATAGTGATACTTTCATTGTTTACCTGAACAATATCACCAGCATCAATTTCCAAAAGTAGTGAGATATGTAAAATAATTCTTCAATAGCTCACTTCTGTTTAATATAGCCTTTGATTGAATAAATGTTCCCAATGAAACTAGGCGGACTGAATAGTACAACAGTGTTAACTTAGGTAGACATAATACTGAGAATTATCTAGTTAATAAATAAAAAGTTTGTGAATTGTTATGTAAATTTTACTTAGCAGTGCACTACAGAAATTGAACGTTGTACAGGCGGAAATACCATTTTTCGGTTTTTTTATGTTAATAATTTGTGCACATTATTCACATTATTATAACTTCAACCTTTGTTACTCTAAACATGCAAGGTAAATTATAAATGGCACTACTTTCATTCGTCTATAGTCTGTTCAAACATTTATTTTTGAACAAATATAAAGCAAAATATATGAAAGCCTGTTTGCTTCCAACTTTATACATATTCTTCTATATTGGTAAATACGGATAGTGAATAGCAATCCCTTTTTGAATGAATTACTGACTTGTGTATTCTAATCCCACACATCATTTATATTTTCGAAAAGTAAGATTCGCATCAGACTTAACCAACTTCACAGATTAGCACGGTGTCATTAATAGTACTTATAGGGAACATCAATCCCGTCAAGACATCTGGTTTACATGCCTGACATGTGTCAAGTGACTCAAGACCTATTTCAAGAGTTCTCTGTTGACTACCCATAACTATCTGAAACCCTAATCTGATTACTGCTTTGCTAATAACTATTTTAACTACGTGATACATATAAGTTTAGTAAATTTGAGAAGTTTAAGGCTTGATTATTTGTTATGCATCGTATTGTATACGAAAATAAATAAAATATAGACTTTATTATACAGGCAAATGTTGTTGATGAAAATGTATTTGCAATTTTTTTAATATTCATGAAGTTGTTTTTAAGCTCTTTTGGTTAGCTTAGTTATCAAGATTATGGCATCCAAACATGAGTATATCGTTTTGTATACATTTCTTTCGTGCAGTTCACATTAAAGTGTAAAACTTGAAAGATCTTCGATTATTTGTAATAAATATAGTTAACAGTCATTGTTTTCTACAAATAATTAGTGCTAAATGTAGTGAAATTTTTCGTGTTCACATTTCAACCAGCATGTTGTTATGAAATAGGCTTTCTTATTCAATGGTAAATTATGAGATTTTCTGTTCCTTCATATACATAACCTCATAATGAGATGGATTATGTCGATAGCCCATCAGTATAGAACATCAGATGTAATATCCATGCACTTACAATACTCAACGAAAGAAGTCTTACTTTAAATCGGGCTCTTTAGGGTTTGTTTATTGTTGTTTACCTTTGAGAACCACTTGGAATGATAAATTTTTGCTTTGTTAAAATAATAGTTTGAGTACTGGAAATAAAGTTTCTGCCAGCACTGAGCAGAATCATTCTTGTTTACCTATTTTTGATGGTTTTCAGTTGATTCATTCAAAAGATATCATATTTTGAAATAATCTATTACTTTATTCTTTTGACAGAATAAACTCAATAAAGAAGGTGGCATGCACTTGACGCTCATGCGTATGAAGTAAGTTTTATTGGAAGTTTTTCGTTTAAATCTATTGCATAGACTGTTTTATACAACCATCTTACAGTATATAACCGTTTAGTGATAAAATATTATATTCATATAGATTTCTATAACTTTTTTTTATAACATTGACTATCATGAATTCACTAAAATCATGACCACACGAACTAACTAACTGACATCAACCAGTTCCTTCGTAGGAAGGAACGCCACAAGATGTGACAACAGAATGCAAACTTGTTTGTAGTTCTGTATGACAACACACATCTACAAATTATGCGATTCAAAACAAATACTCTGTCAAAATATAATTGGGAACACTAATTCAACTGTAGTCAAAAATACCTATGTCAATCACCCATTAAATAAATGAAATTTCAACTTAGCCAATATGGAGAACTGATGGGGATTTTTAAATTCAGACATCTGATATAACCTAATTCATTCGGATGTCATTTATACTTTACTTTATATCATTATCAATGAAAATAAGTAGACTAACAATAATAGTTATAGAAATATTCTAAAATGGTAAGTTGTAGGAATATTTCTGTGTATAAATATGAAAATTCTAGTTAGAGATTTTAAAATACATCTGGAGGTAAGTGTCGAAAGAGAGAATGAACATCTCTGTCACAGTTACGTAATAGAAATCGTAAGATTTAATAAAATACCAAAGTAAGATGAGCAGAGCTTAAAAAATCATAAGTGAAAAAGTGGCGAACATGAAGTAGGATATTATCATACTGAGTACCAAAAATAACAAAAGTTACCAGGGTAAGGAGAGATTTGCATCTCTATACTTTTCAGTACGTAGGTGTGGCTTTAACTTTTTAAAAGCAATGAGGTTGGTATAACCTATTGTAATGTACGAAAGAAAGATATGACAGTTCATTTACAAAGTATGTACAGAATCATTAGACATCCTTTGGCCATGCAGGCAGTTTACTGACTGTCTTGTCTCACATTTCCTCTAGTCTTCAGTATATTTTGATCGCTCCATGCATTTCTATCTCCAGACACTTCTCTCCCTGATCACTATTTGTAAGCGATGTTCCGCCACTTTTTCAGTAGCATCGACCACACTAGTTGTTTCGGTTTTCATTATTTAGCATAATTTTAAAATATCATGATTGTGTCTATGATCAAGATAACAGGTAATGATAGTGACGAAAATGCAATGAACTTTCAATCTCCGAGGCTCAAACAACAACTGTCCTTTCTGTTCTTCTATCATCAGTGCTTTAGCATGAACATGTAAAAAAGGTGGTAATATGATGTAAGAATTGATCCACTTTAGTCTGTTCCAGTGAGTAGTTTCTTTGATACTTTGAAAGTACTTTAGCGACTGCATACAACAATAGCATGCACTATTTTCGGCATTCTAAGTAAAACATGACTATTGCTGCTATCTGTGGGCGAACGTACAACCCAATTTTATACAGATGGACACTTGTCTTTCTAATCTTTTGTGTATAGGGTGTCTGTTGCTTGAACTGGACACTAAACACATTTCTATACAGTATTCTATTCTGTTTATCAGTCATAGTTTATCAATTCAATCGTCATCTAGTTGTTCAGCTATTTCCTTCTCTTTTTCAATACATTATATGTTGGCTTATATCAATCGAAGTGTTGTTTGTTCAGTATAAACATTGAGGAACTACTATACGAAAGCAATTAAAATGATTTATATGCATATATATACACCAAAAATCATAAATCAAATAAAAGTCAATAATGAACACGTATAATCACTTCAAAAAGGACAAATTTATTGATTGATATTTCCCAGATTATTTCTAATGATTGTATAAACCTAAAAATAATTTTTAAACACGTTTAGCTGTCTTTCCGTACACAGATACAAAACTACCGTTTACACTTTGTTAAACTGAAAAAAAAATACAACAATAGACTGATTTGTTTATCTATGAATAAACTGTCAAAATTTGATCAAATTTCTTAAGGGAAGATAAACAACTTTAACACATTTTCAGACATCTAATGTTGTAGCCTTTTCATCAATATATACATTTGCTCAAATTATACTTATGAAAAGATGTAATCTTGCATCGTTAAGGTTTTATTCTCTCCCCTTAAAATTTGAATCATAAAAATGTTAGATGTTTTGAAAAAGCCGATGGAACATTTTTCAGGATTGTTATTATCAGTGATTAATTCTAGGTACATAGCTTAGAAACACTGGACACCTATTTGATCTTAGTTTTAGATTAGCAGTGTGCGTGCCTATAATTTGACAAGTGATTGAATATCTTATATTGTGGTGACCAGGTTAACCCTAAAACAATGATTTATATTCTTAACTTTGATTAACTCATGAGACTATTCAGTTATCAGTTCATTGACATTTTTCGATATTTATCACTTCTGACTCGATTGAACTTTATAACTACTACTAATCAAACTGACAATCGTAAGGTCGTCCACAATTTCTGAAGAGTTCGAGAAAAAGCTTCAGAACCAGATTATGTTCTGTTCTATCTGTTTCTCAAACATCACTGTCACATCTGTCAGAAACAACATGATTAAAATGGGAAAATAATTCACTATCATTAATTCCTCCCAATATTTCGAGTTCAGTGATTGAATAGACGAGCTTAGAGAATAAAAAATTAGTTAGATAGGATTTGATTGTCATATTGATTATCGAATGAATTTCTTTTCCATCTGTCATTTGAATTAGATAGAACCATGTATTTACACACATGACCATTTCGTCTTCTCCATACATCCTACTTAGAATACAACCCATCAATCATTCCAAATCTATCATAATAATAATAATAATACAAAATAATATATTTAATAATCGGATTTTTTTTTCTTCCTATCGATTATGTTAATGTTATTCAATCTTCTTTGCATGCTAACTGAATTTAAACTATTTTCACTGAAAATGCTTTATTAATTTACACTAGTAGTATTTCATTTCAAAAAATAGTTTATAAAATAACAAATTTATTTGTTTTTATTACATCCTTATTGTTCAAGAATATTTTTAAAATTTTATAAAATTAAATAATATGTTTTATCAACTAATTAATTATCCTTAGTCAAATAACATACGGTTTAATATAAATACGAATGGGTTTAAGTCCAATACAATCCATATGAACAAAACGAAAGATGATATTCGCTAGGAAAGAGTAACAAATACTATCAGAAAATAAAGAGTATAGAACGATAAAGGTGTGAGATTTAGATATAGAAAGATAAATAACTGATACATTTTTAACACTGAAGTTGATTTGTGGTAATATTACTTGGAATTTTTTTATCAAACTTATCATTGTATAGACCTCCACTTGAAAAGTCTGCATACTCCGAGCATCAGACAAGCTAACTCAATGATGTACTTCAGAGAATTATAACATTCCTTAATTTGATCCTCCTTATCCATCTTCGAGATGCTTCCTAGGCTAACCATTTTTGCTTATCGCGTTATAAAGTAGTATAGAATTGCAAACCAAGTTTTGTATTACATTTTTTATGTAATGAGCAGATACATTACGTGTTTGATCAGTGATCAACAGTTGATAAATCAACCACTAAATCTAATGCTAACAAGTTGATTTACTAAGTAAATCTTCCGATTTAAAAACTGTTATTATGGGGAAAAATATTTCCAAAATGATTTCAGTCGTTTAAAAAATTAGAAAATAGAAGAAAGAAGTATTTTGTGTTTAAAATCGCTTTGGATTTCAGGCAAACAAAAACGTACATCTTTACTGGCAGCAGAATTCATACACAATTTATAGAAGTATATGAATATTCTAATTTCTTAAATGTGAATAGATCCACGTGAAATACTATGTATTACTATGTATTTTATTACATGCATGATATAATGTCCTATAAGCCATAAATCTACTCTCACTATCTAATGAATATTGATCCTTTACTGGACAATATTTTACACATCCCAATGCTTTCCTGTAATTTATACACAGGTTTACGTTTATTGGAATGAATTCCCCCACAAGAATAATTTCATAGTACTCTAGTAACCTCTTTTGGTCATACTATGATTAAATATATGAATTTTCCGTTGTGTAAAAGACTGAGGTTCTTTGCACACATCGTTTCTTCTTCAACTTATCAAGATTCCTGGTTCTTCATCAACTACTTTATTGGAAATCTTTGTCTGTTACTTTATTACTCCTCGTAAATTTAGACTGTTTATAGGGCTTATGCATTTTACAAATGTTGTTGTTTAAATCAGTTCACTTTCATTGTTTTATTTTACTGATTTGCTACAAAGGCATTATTCACCATTGAAAACAATCTTTCTGAATAGAATAAAACGTTGTTTAAGGCTCCATATTTATTGTAATCGTGTCCTTGTTATCAGTCCTAAAATTATATACAATTAACCATAGATCCTCCCTCAATAAATATAACAAAATGAATCTTTTTACATAAAATTGATAATGCTATAAAAGAGTAAATCGAATTCCATTGTAGTTTATAGTTAATAGTTTTTTTTTTAATTTTCTTATTTTTATAAATGTCTACTTTCAAACAATACACTATCCAAATTGAATTTTTTTTTATGTATAAGTTCTGTTTTGCAATAACAATTCAAAACATATTCAATTTATTTCGATATTTCATAATTATAAGAGAATTTCAAAAATGAGCAAGAGCGAACACTAAAAGAGAAATCACAATGATAAACGTCTATTTTTTTTGTTTACAAACAAATCAAACATAAATGGACAATCGGAGATCATGATGAAAAATCAAAATCCAATTATTAAGAAATGATAAGTTTGTCATCAATTCGTATATGCAAACAATTCTAATCACCATTCTAATCTATATTTACTATTGTTGATTATTTAAACGATCAGATATTGAACAAACTAGATAATATTGATCAATCTCACAGAGAATAAATCTGTATTAAAAATCAACATATCAAGATGCATCGTTTCTTTCTAGTGAAATTTTTATTCGTATGCAAACCTTGTAAAATCTATAAGAACAGCATGACGTTTATTTGCACCTTTTCGTGTACTACACATCTCATTGTAACCTTTTGCAGTAGTTTACGCAATAATGATTTAACTATGCGATACTGTAAACAATCTAAATGTGTATAATGATAACACCATTAAATTTTGAAAACATATTCCAAGTCTACTCATTTCCTTTTCAGAGATAGAGTTACATTAAAATAATTATTATTTCCATTACATAACTCATTATTTAGTCATTTAGGCATAATTATTATCTTATTATCTGATTGATGCCTATTTCACTCATTTTGTAATCGATTGATATTTTATTTTGTTTCTCAATTGTTAGTCTTCGAATTCATCAATTAAAACAAATGCAAATTAAAGTTCACAGTCTGCAAAATGATCAATGTATAAGTATAAAAACAAAAGAGAAGGAATTAACGGAAGCAATAAATAAAGTAAGATAATTTATGCTTTCAATATCTTCCAGTTGCGATTCTATATTAAAACCATTGAGGTAACAACAATAATTGAAGTAACAATGGGATCAGTAAAAAGTTCAGTTTTAGATTATACATTGAAAAAAAACCCAAAACGGATAAAACTACTAAACTGCTCGAAACACACAAATTCTTTGCTTTAGTTTATCAGGGACATAAGAGGTGTTACTGTTTACTTGCTTCCCATATAACTTCTGATGTCTATGATGATAGATAAGTGGTGGTTTGAAGTTACCGATTCAAGTTTAGAACTAATCGATAGCTGACACCAAGATTATTTGGTGAGTTTGTCATTCCAACAGTTTAAAAGGTTGTAGTTTTTACCTTAAAATTTTTATAAGTCTCGTTATATTAGGCCATAATTCAAATAAAAATACTAGCTGCTTGATTAGTAGTTTTCAAGAATAGTATCATTTATGATATGGAATAGAGGTGGTCCAAAATTGCTTTGCATACTAATTTTTTTCAATTAAAAGGAAATAATTACTAAGGTGATGACGATGAATAACTTGCCAACTGTTGTTTAAATAATAGTACGAATCGGTTGATCAATTTATTTTATATAATACCTATATCCTGTAATCCGTCAACTTTAGTTAGGTCTTATTGCCTAATTATCTCTACATTGTATACAATCCTATATATTTATTCATAACTTTCCAATTTGCCCAATTCAATTATTTAAAAGCGTTTTCATGTTTCCAATGTTTGTTAATTGTTCACCACCGACTGCAGCGACGAGCTATTTTTTGTGGTGTAGGAGTAGGTTGGAAGAAAGCTAGGGGCAGCCAAACCAAAACAAGGTAGAAACCCATGAAGTCACTGACAAGTGGACTGAGTTATGTTGGTAGATGTAGGCTATCTGGTTGGGTTCCGCGAGACGAAAGTCACCAATGGTTGGAGACCTTGAACGACATGGCTCGGAATCGTTTGCAATGGCGCAGGTACATCTACTCTTTGTGTGCTTTTTAATTCTAACCTTCTGAATCCCTCATAATCTCTGTCTTTCTCCTTCTAAATTTATCTCACTGAATTATACTTTTCGAATCATATCTTTGCTCCCTAATCTTCTCCATTGCTGCTAATAATTCTACTATCACTATCACTCTTGGATTTGAAATGACAGTTGCGTCTCTGTGCTGAAGTGGTATGGCAACCTGAACTGATGTACTTACATACGAAGTTCTGTGTTGTATCTGTCTGTCTGTCTAATTGTCCGGAGAATAAAACTATTCGATCACTTTATTTCAAGATAACAACAGTATACCAGAATAAACACCAATGAAATACAAAAAACCTGATCAACGTTTCTTTCTTCCTTCATAATTATTTTAAATGCTAGGTTTTGAGAAACCACATTCCACCTCACATTTCACCCATTTCTCTTCTATATATTCTGTTATTCCCTTCATTTTAACCTACTTCATTTTGTTTCGAAACTGCTTTGATCCTCTGCTACCAATATCAGTCATTTTGTTTTGTTTCTGTGACCCATTTAATTAATTTTCTAGGCTTTATAGAGATTTTTGTTTTAGTCTTTAGATAAATAAAATATTTTGTTTGATATTGTTACTATTAAAATGAACATTATAAATCATCGGTGTAAAGTGCTATACGTATTTGCGGTTTAAATTTTCATGATTAAAATCATCAAAGATTGGTATATTCCTTGAATAGCTCCACTTCACTCCTATTTTATGCCTCAACTAGTCATTAAGACTCATTTATTACTGACTTCCTTAAGCTTGTTACCCGCAATGGAGCAGAGGCCGCCGACCAGTATTCAAAAACCTACTCTGTTCTGGGTTTCCCTTTCCACTTCTGTCCAGTTGATGTTCATTCTTCTCATGTCTATCTCCATTTCTTTGCTTAATGTGTTCCTTGGTCTTCCTCCTTTCCTTTAACCTTGAGGGTTCCAAACGAGGACTTACCTTGTGACTCAGTTGTGTGCTTTCCGCAATCTGTGTCCTATCCACTTCCAGAATTTATTGCCCGGATCAAATCAACACCCCCAATGAGATCTAAAGTATCACCATCCAATGTTAAAGTATTCTCCAGATTACGTACTAATGATTTCCATTTTACTTGGTTTCACATTTTGTTATGATTTTCCACATTTTAAGAACTCTCATTTTATAAGGCTACATTATCGTTTACTTCTTTTATGAATAATATAGATGAATTTATTGTCAGAATCCTGGGCAAATGAAAGGCAAGCCAAGATTGAGACGATTCAAAAGTTACGAGAAAATCTTAAACTTCTATCAGATGAATCATCCAAAGTTTGCATAACGAATAAAACAATTCAAACTCAACATGCTGACAGAACAAACAATAATAGTGAGTAGTTTTGCTATTAGTAGTTCATTCCAAGATATATTTTGAACTACACTCTTGTTATTCAAACTACATTCATAACAAGGCCAATATTTAAGAATATGGAAGTTATTTTTCAAAAGCCTCCTGATTTATTTAGTAATACACGTATTACTCAGCTAAGAACGGAAAAATTACTTAACTAAAATACAAACTAAACAATAAAAGTTAGGTAATATTTTTGAAACAGTAAAATATCATGAAAAATCATTGGCACAGCTAGCGAAATTTCTTAACGATTCTACTTTCAAATCAATTTCATGACGTTGTTCTCGCTGAGTTGAATGATTTTACTGGAATTTTTTAGTTATCTTCTCAGTCTGCATAATTGACGTACATTTCTGAAATAAACAATCAAACTACAGTAACTAATAGTATGATTCTTTTTATGTAGAACAAATAGCTATCCACATATGAGGGACTTCCAACAGCTCACTTTCTAGAATTTTATCCTGTTGTTTTAAGAGACAATCTAAGTATTGAAATTAAGCCATGCATCTTAGAGACTGCAATACTTTGAAAACCCTTCTCCTGAGCTAATCATTTTTCTAACATCTCAAAATAAAATTCTCAGTATGAAGCCTAGTGTATTACGGTCATCTGGAAGACTTTCAGGAATCAGAAAGACAATGGACATTTGTTTTAACTTAAACTGGGAATGGCTATTAGTGCATACTTTTGATACTATCAAGAATCGAACCCAAATAATTAGGATTTCACTATGCAAGGAATAGGAAAGCCTAACCAATCGTTAGAAACCCAATGGATCACCATTGACGACTTTATTTCTGCTTCAAATGAGCGAAATCTAGAAATTTCGTACAGTTGGTTTCCCTCACAAAAGATGAGACAGCAGTTTCGGCAGAAGAAAAGGAATTTATTTCACTTCATAGTTTCTGTTCAACTGTATTCATATTAGAGTATAAGAATAAGATATAATATAACATGGAGCAATCCAACAGTCCTAATTATTCTTATCATAAATGCCGATTACTCCATGTCATTTAATATATCAATGTTACACTGTATTTTGAGTACGGTTATAAGTATCTGGTAAAAAGCCACAAAATAAAATGAACACATATTATTCTGGCTCAGCTGTAGTTTTGTCTTTACTCAAACAAGAATTAATTAAGTTGGTTTTGACAACTTATGCTTAGAATATGCAAATATTTCTACTATTCCATTTTTTCTGCGTCTTTTTAGGTGTACAGATATCAGACACACACGAACCTCTCCTACCCTACTCATTGTTCAGTGCTTTATGCAAAGAGATACGCCGTTTACAGTCTCGTTCTGTCACTCTTGTTGAAGCATTAGACTTATTGAGCACAGGAAGTTACAATGCAGAAAAACTTGAACAAATCAAAAATTTAGTATTTTCTTTAAACCAAACAAAAAAGTAAGTAAAAAGTGTTAAAGATTTTTATTCTGGTATAAGTTCTGACATAATAAAGTAACGAATAAGTTTTTCCGAAATCTACTTATACAAAAAAAGATAACATAGTTGATAAAAACGGACAGAGAACAGCTGGAATACTTTTATCTCTTCGAAGATTAAGTCTAAAATACGAGAGGATTTACTGGAAATATTTCTTAACGATTCTGATTAGCCACCTGTAACTTAAAATCCATTATTTGATGAACTCTAAAAACTAACTATAGAAAATATTTGTTTGTATATGGTTTAATCATGACTGACACCAACCGGAGAATTTCTGAAAACCAGGGGCAGTGGACATATTTCAACCTGGTTAAAGACTCTCCAGAAGTGCGTAATCACAATGCTACTATGGATTATGTCCCGGACTGCTAATCCAGATTCTTGAATTTAATCAGCTCCTCTAAAAAACGATTTTCTCTCTAAATGATTAGTATCGGTACCCTATTTAACACCCTAGCATTTGTATACAAGTTATCATGCTTATTTTAATAATAGATACATTTGTCTTGTATCAATTTAACAGCACATATACCACAAACTGGAAGAATACGTCTCTGAATAATGTTGGCACTAACATCAGAAGGAATATGGATACAAGATCATTTAACACAGTTCGATCTATTAAGTTACGTAACAGTGAGACTGTATCAGCGAACGCTCATTCACCTAAAAGGTATTCAGGTGTTCCCGCAGCTTCTCCTCACAGTAAACATATAACAATCAGTGATAATCGTAGACAAAGAACTTCATCATGTAAGAATTCTTCTGATGGAAATTTGAAAAATTTGTCAATACAAGAGTCCACTAATGAAAAAACAGTCTATCCTAACCCACCCACTGGTTTACAAATAGAAAAATCGGTCTCACCACTACAACAGCAACATAAACAACGACAAGATCCAGTTCAAGAAGAAAAGGAACAATTTATACAGCAGCAACAGCTATATTATCACTATAGTTTACCGATTTCTTTCAGTCCACGTGTACAGCGCCGTCCTGTCTCATTTTATTTAAGTCGAAGTGTAGATAAATTTATAAATTCGCCAATTCCAGAAGCTGATGAAGAACAAACTGATGATGACGAAGATAGCGTAGGTGAGGGGGAGGACGAAGATGAAGAGGAGAACGAGAAGAGGAACGAAAACGTGAAAAAAGAACAAGACAACTATAAAACGCACTATGATGATCATATTGGATCCTATAACAATGAAATGGTTGGGGTGGAAATATCCAAAGAAATGAATACGGTATTAATCAGCAACCCGTCTTAATTGTAAATGTTTATTTTTAAAACACATTCAAATTTTTGATTGTTAAAGCCTACATATATAATATGATGCCCAATTATTTTGTATAAATCAAATTTAAGACCTATTCACCTGTGTATATAGACGCACATTCTTTTCTTATATTGTAACATTTATCTATTGTTTACAGTTCACCGTACGTTAGTATCAGTCAAAAACTTATTGTAACAATCAAGTTTTACATGAATCGAACAAAGAAGGCTGTGTTTTTGATCAATAAAACGGATTTGTATTTTCATATCGCATACATGTAAACAAATGAGTTCTGTATCTTCATCAACCATTGTGTTCTCGAAATTCTTAGAAAAGTTTATTTCTCAATATACAGAAATACTTTTCGTTTCTTGTATTCCAACTGTTTATACAGCTCATTCAGATGTAACTATTTTTTATTATTAATTAATTACTTCATAGTCTTTGTTCATTCTTCCCTTATTTTGAATTTTGTACCGTGCCCACTAACGCATACGGATTCTATTGATAAACTACCATTTCTTATGTACAAGATCTATTTTTCTCCAAATCTTCTTCCTAACACATTTTTTTTACATCCTGTTCACTTTTTATGTGTTGTACAAATACAAAACCACTGTTGTTAAATACGACTTATCATTTTTTTTAAAATAAAAAGCTCAATAGCAATTGAATCATAATTACATATACATATATTTTCTTAAATACATTGTTATCCATTGGTAATCATTATCATAATCGATTAAACTGAGCAGTATACCATTTCTGCTTTTTTCCTGTGAGAACGTCGAACTACTTCGTAGTTAAGCTTTAGTCTACATAATGTTGATAAATATGTGCAACTGCTGCTTCTCAATCACGAAATCGATGTTCAAAATCTCATTCATCGGTGTCCTAAGTGATGACTATTTTCCACCTGTACCTACTACGGTGGTCCTCAAGAATCTTATCAAATTTTATCCTTTACTCAACATGGAATTAGGTTCTTGCACGCACACCTAAATATAGTGTCAGTCATGAAGGCATTAGCTGTTGTTTAGTATTAATTAGATTAGATCGTACGAAACTACAAACTGTTCTCTGTTAAAATGGAAGGTTCTTGTGTAAAAATGTTTCTCATTTGTACCTTCCATTTCATCGAAATTTCCGCAGATGAATACTTGTTGACTTGGAGTATGACTAATTCTTTTGTTCAATGTTACCTGATTCTTAATATTGGAAGCATATATTTTTTGGGTGAAAATTAAAGACTAGTGAAATGTAGTCCTAAAATCCAATAATTACTCTAATTAAATCCATCAAAGTGATTGTTCCCACTGATTCCAAAAATCCAATGTCAATTTTTAAAAAACTCTTTTCGGGATTTATTTCAAAATGGTATCACTTCCAAATGACGATTATCGAAATCAGAACTTATCACATTTTTCACAGATATGGAAGGTCGGAAAATTGCACAAAATTTATTAGTCTGAATACAAATTTGGCAAATTCATTGTGATGCACTTATACAAAGAAAAAGAATTAAAATATGTTTTAAATATTAAAGAGAAATAAAATTGTCCTCTGTAATCACGATTATTAAATGAACATTATTTAATTGGATTCAAAAAGAAGAATATTAAATGTCAAAGTAATACGAGATCATCGCTAGATGTATTAACTTTAATCCGGAAGTGATATAGAGTTCTCTGTAATCATAGATTGGTTTAGTTTATTCAAATAAAGTAAATGCTTTTCTTTTTCTTGTAAATTACTGCAAGCAGCTTCTGTATTGAGTGATGGTTTGACACTATCCTCAAGCGGTCCAGAAGCAACCTTTTTTGTTGGATCATGACGAACTTCTGAAGACATGATATGTGAAACATTTTTATCAGTAACAAGTGTATTTCCTCCTTGAATGTGGTTCAATGAATTATTTACTGATAACCTATAAAATACACAGAATTACATATAATCAAATAATAGATATTGCGTGGAATTCTTTACATGCGAATCCATATAGAACTTCTGCGTTATAGTAGAATAAAGTAGCTTTTATGTGGTTTTTCATAACATGGTTAAGTCGGTTCATTTATTTGGTTCGATAAACTTTTTAGTTTAACAGACATATTTAGAAGTTACAGCTAACCGATCAACGCTTATTCAAGAGAAGTATATTTACTCAATGTATGACGACTATTATGTGTGGACAGGATTTTTATGGTAAGGCTGACCCTTTTATAAGAAAGTTTAGTGGCCAAATCCAACATATTTTCACCCACCTCATACTATTAAGGAATCGAATGTCTAATGGACTGGAGGTTCCAAGTGTTAACCTAATGTACTGACTAGATTTGTAATTTTATGACCGTTCAACAGAGGCAATCAGCCATCACAGAAACTATGATGCTAATCCGATTAAGAAGTTTCATTGACAATCATATTAGTTACAACCTATTCTATTTATCATGCTGATAAGACCTGAGGTTAAAAACAATGTACTTGTGTAAATACAATGTGTTTTTTGTCCAATAATAACTTCTGTTTCTAGAAATTGCAGTGTCAACAAATCTGCATATGAATTGTTAGCAGAAAACAATAAAGATCAGAGCATAATAAAACCATAAAAGTTGAAAAAACGTTGTAAATGTTACTAACTTCAATCAGTGGCTTGCCATCTATATATTTTGTTGGAATGATGTGACATTATTTAATCTGACTGTAACATAAGTGTAAGGGTATGCCAATAAACATGTGAAAAAGAAAAAAACGCCCTACCTACAGTGATAACAACTTACCGAGATCCAGAAGCATATTCCATTAAACGATTTCCCCTAGTATGATGATGGAGATTTCCACTAAATTTATGAACTAACCAATTTGTCAAAATCGTCAAAATCAACATAAAGATAACACAAATAATTAATGGTAAAAATATTTCATTATATGTGAACAGTTTAATGTTGTCTAAACGGCAAACTAAAAGAACAACGAATATAAGAAAGATAGATGCAATTAATGTGTATCCAGTTGTTGAAATAATATCGTGGAGATCTTTCTGAGTGAAACGACTTAATCCGCATAGCATACAAACTAAAAATAATAACAATACAATTAGAAATCCAATTATAATCCAAAATGGTATTAACACTGTAACCCATGTCCAATTAATATAATTATCTAAACGTAAAGCAATTAGAATGACACACGGAAGATTCAATGCGAGAAATTTTTCGCAGTCGTGAACAGTTAACTCGCAAAACTGTTTCGTAAATGTTAAAAATCCCAAAAGGCATAAACAATAAATTGGTATAAAAACTACACACCAGTCCAAAATATTTTTTTCCAGTTTAATACACAAAATTATTTGAAATGTAAATAATAAAATTTGACAAAGATAATAGAATAAAGAGAATTTAGTTAATTTGAGAGAGTTAAGTAGTAATAAAATGAGTGAACCTAAAAACACAAGAATATTCCATAACCAAAATGGAGTAAACATAAGCCATGCATTTACACAAATGTAACTATTGATGTGTAAAAGGCACAGGATAAGGAATGTTAAAGACATTAATAAAAAAAATGTTTTTTGCATAACAGCATTTTGTAAATAATTTTGAACAATCATGAGAATAGACAATATTTGTGTGAATATATGTGTACTAAATCAAAATCAGTTTTGTTTTAACTCCATTGACAAGTGTTCTTGTTTGAAATAAGAAAGAAAAGCGACGCTGTTGAAGAAATTCACTTTAGCAATAAATAGATCTGAAAGAAAATTGGTAATTAACAATTGAATAATACTGATTTTATAATAATAAAGGAATTAATTAAATGTTTGCGATCCATTATGAAATATCTAGAATACATTGACAGTAAAATCTGAACGATTTAGTTGGGCACTGAATGTTTGTAAATTAACTTTGAACAAACTCAATTTTATCATAACATCTCTGTGGTTGGCATAAATTCTATTCAGTACCTTAGCGTCACTATAAAATTAGCTTCAAGAAACGCGTCTCTTGAGTAATCAGCTATACGACTGTTAAAAAAATATATCATGGCACATAAAGTTACATTAAGGAGTTCTGAGTTAATTGGTATTTTATTAATGAAGTTGCGTACTGCATTCAAGTTCCTCTAAAACAGTGTTCATCTACTAATGGATAACCAGAAGATTTGTTACGATAATGCAAGTAAGACGAATCGCATTGCATTGATAAGCCTACAGATGTATTCTTTTTCCTACTTCTAAAGAATACTCACTTCATAAACAAAGTATTAGATGTCACTTGTTTAGAGATCCACCGTGCTGAAAAGTAAAATGTTCCGCATATCGAAAATTTGTATTTACGATATGATCTTGTTGACTAATCCTGAAAGAAATCTGCGGTCATATTTTGGTTTCTAAAATGTGGTATGGATATTGGTACTTTGGTTAAGATTTATGAAATAATTTCGTCTCTGTGTATTTATCAGTCACGACTACTGATCATTCCTACTCACCTTAAACCGTTAACTAAAGGAAAGGTCTGGTATGGTAAACGGCTCTTGTGACATAAGTAAATATTATAGTGACATTAGACCAATCATCACGGATTACGTCTCTGTATACAGCATTTTGAAAACAACAGTTTCTGACGCATAGAGTTAAGTGTCATTCTGAAACCACTTCGCCAAGCTTCATCAAGATTTTGATAATAACTTCAAAATTGTAAAGTAATTGTAATTTAGTGTACCCAACACACGTTACAGCATATGACTTTGCCCCCTGGCCTGCAACTACATACCAGACAGATATTTCGGCTGTCATGGTTCATTTTCGGTCGACAGACATGTTTGTCAGTAGCAAAGCATCCAATGAAGTTATGCGAATTCCAATATCATACTAAAAGAAGAAACAGGATTGTCGCAAACAGCTTATTGCTCACTGGCTACCACATACTTCTGAACAGACTAACAGATAGGCACGAAGGCTAGTATTCCTTAAAATTGCCCCTGAGATATGCTCGTAAAAACTAAGCTAGATGCATTCAGAACAGAATGTAATAAAAGTAATCCCACTTTAACATGTTCATAGTAAGGTCAAATGATATTTTTAAAGCACCTGTGGCATGTCAGTCATATCTGCCCTAATTCCACTATTCAAATGAGAAAAAAGAGAGGAATAAAAAAACCAGTTCACAAAACACTGACAATTTTGTTGACTAATAAACCCGAGTGACTTGAATGATGATTCAAATAATTAGAGGCTAAAACAGACATGCATGGTAACCTAAAGATTTTCTCTGCAACGAGATACTCAGGGATTTAAAATGAAGCATCATGTAAAATAAATCTTTCGAAGCAATGTACGGCACTGTACTATATAAGGTTCCATACGATTAATCAGCTCAAACATTTCATCGAATCGGAAGTTTGATAGTTTTTATATCCGGTCGAAATTCATTCTTGGGGTCAACTTATCATAAAACCTCGTTTACAGTTATTTTCAAACGTATTAGATGACAAGTATGACATTAAAGTGGAATCTATCAACAAAAAAAATTATATCAGATCATACATTGAATTAACGTGGTATTCAGTCTAACTAACTAACTAACTAACTGCAATGGCAGGTGGTCAAACGTTCCATGAAGATGGCATTTTCGTGAAACTAAAAGTGTGCTAATTATGGAATGAACTTCATTAATATTTGTTGATATATTTAAACAAGTATGTGACTTTCTAGTTTTGCGATTATTTATGTTTTTCCATATATACAAAACTCTGTTGATATGTAATTTTATAAAAAATGCATTGCGAAAACTGTCCTCGTGCATCCAATGTCCAATATCTTTTTCACGATGTAGTGTAAACCAATTTGATTTCTTCACGCTCGATTCTTGTTCTTTCGGTACTCTTCCAGGTGTTCAGTAATGTCCAATCGATGGAGGTCTAGCCACTCGACTGTCTAATTCTAGTCAGTTGGCAGTTGGTTGTGAATTTGTATGTCTCGGGATTTGAATGAAACGTTTGTTTCAGGACAGTTGGGTTTTTGGATACTAGCAGCCGTCGCATTACCAAACCGGAGATCAGTTAGTTGCAATGTGGAGAGTAATAAGGATAATAGGGATAAAATTAAAAAGATAATATGAATAAAAGCTCAGAACTGAGTAATATATAGGTGAATTCAGTTTGTTAATTGGTAGTGAGGATTGTGAGAGAGGACCGAAGTGTAAGCAATGTAGAGGAAACAGAGATAATAGGCGAGATAGATTAATTGAGTGATCGGAGGAGATGGCAATGGTAACAACTAGCAGGTCTCAAGATATGCATCATGATCAGCTTGTCCAAGAGGGAGATGATAGTCCGTATGTGAGTACGTGATTATCAAGTCTCTTCTTAAAGCAGTCTACTGAGGGGGCTGTGGTTACCTCGGCTGGGAGAGCATTCCAAGTTGCGAAGACAACGAGAAAAAGTGTGCACGAATCTGAGTATTTGCTCTTTGATCTGCAATCTTTCAAGGATTGCCTCGAGGGGAGTGGTGGTGATGCATCGGTAAGATGCTCACATTGGGATGGTTTGGCGTGTTTAATATGGTGTACGCCATAATCAGGTCACCTCTGATTCTCCTGTAGCTCAGTGGGAATAATCCCAAGAGCTGGAGTCTATCGTCGTACGGTTTATTTTTCAACCCTATCACACATTTCGTTGCTCGTCTCTGCACTCGATCCAAGAGATTAATGTCTCTTTTAAGCAGAGGGGGTGCGATGACTTTGTGAACCTCCAAGTGTGGGCGCGCGTACGTCTTAAACAGGGTTAAAAATAATTTCGGGGTGATAGCACCAAGCTGTCTTCGCATAAAGTGAAGAGTCACATTTGCCTTGGCTGCATCCCCTACATAGTTTGAACTGGTGTGGAGGCTTTCTGTGGTTATTAAACCAAGATCGCGCTCTGAGGAGACATTAGGGAGCGGACTTCCGTTGATAGTGTAGGTGGTTTGCGTCATATGAGGCAGGAAATGCATGACGTGGCACTTCGGTTGGTTGAGTTTTAAACCGTTTTTCACTGCCCATTTCTCAATAGATGTAAGATCCTTTTGAAGCTCAGTCGAATCCTCTTCGCTTCTAATGGACCTCCAGATCTTCGCATCTTCTACGTAGATCAATGCCGGTGAGCTAACTGAGCCTGGCAGGTCGTTAATAAATATCAGGAAGAGGAGTCGGCCTAGGATGGTACCCTTTGAAAATCCCGAAGTGAATACTCTCCAACTCGCGTGCACTCTGTTTACCTTGGTGCGAAACTTTCTATTCTCAAGGTAGTTCCTGAGCCAAGATAGGAGTGGGTCAGTGAAGCCCATTTCCACAACCTTTTCGATTAGGCGTGCGTGGGGCACTGTGTCAAAGTCTTTTGCGAAGTCCAGAAATATTACGTGCACTGGTATATTACGGTCCAAGCAGGATGTCCAACTGCCCCATGCGATGAGAAGATTAGATGCACTCGACCTGCCTTTCCGAAACCCGTGTTGAGCTTCATGGAGTATTTTATTCTTATCCATGTACTCCCTCATTTATTCGTTCATTAGTCCTTCCATAACCTTTAATAATATAGGTTGTAAATGTATTTCTACAGTGGCCGTTCCAATGGGTTCCAATAGAGGCACTCCTGTACGCTTTTCCCAGTTCCGGGTCCCAACCAATTCAAAAAGGACAAAATTCTAGGAGAAAGCGTCTTATTAATTAAAAAATGGAAATACAAAGCATTACCTGGAAATAGTGCTTCTTCCAGGGTTCAAGTACTCCTAAGAGTATCAGACACAGTGACAGATAAGTGACGCTAAGTCCAGCGGCCACTGCATCAATCCAAAAATGTGGCGGTAGCCATATTATATCAAATTTAAACAACATATGTACAGTTCAGAAGCAAACACAAAAACTTCAATATAAGTACAAAATATAGAAAGAATAACAATATACAATGATAAAGTCTCAAATTGGAATCAAATAAATTACCAAAATGTCAACAGAAAAAGTCCGTCATGTCATAGCAAAAATATGTAAACATGGAGGGATTTTCCAAAAAACAAAACATTCAAAAAGGATTCTACATAGGTAGTAGTGCGACTGGTCTGTAAGAAGATTGGGGAGAGAGTAGCTTGTTTCCATTCAGCTGGGAATTGGTTTGGCTTCAGTGAATGCCTGAACAGGTTGCATAATGGTGAACAGAGGACTTCAGAGCACTGTTGCAAGACTATAGGGCGGATTTTGTCACAACCTGGTGACTAACCTGGGCGTAAGGATTTTAGTTTCCTTAATACGATGTCAGGAGTGATACGGATGTTTCCTAAGCAGTCAGCTGGCATTGGGTTGAAGTAATACTCTGAGCATGTAGGCGCCTGGTTTAATTGATCAGCAAAGGTGGTGTTGAAGATCTCCGCCATCTCTAGGTTGGTGAGCTCTTCCCCGTTCGGTCCTTTGAGGGAACACAACCCTTTTGGACATGAACCTAAACAGATGTTTCGGGTTTGCCTCTATTCTGGCAGCTAGCTTCGTCTGGAATTGTCTCCCGTCGCTTCGAACTTTGGTATTGCATCTGTTTCTTATTGCCAAGTAAGAACTGCGATCGGAATCTTTCAAGGAGACCTTCCACTTATGCCAGGCTTTCCTCTTCGCCTGTAGCAAGCGTTCCGTGCCGCGTCTAACCCAGGTTCTTCTGTTCCGGCGTTTTGGGTGTGACTGAAGTACGTTGTCTACGATAGCGTTTTGGATGATATCTCTCACTGCTTGCCAGTGATCATCTACTGTCAGCCTCCACCACTCCTGTGGCCATGGGGCATGTAGGAGCACTTCTCTCATGCGTGTGTAGTTTGCCCTACTGTAGCAAAGACTGTGCCATGGTCACTACTACCTATTGGGGCGCGGATGTGAACATCCTCAACCAGGAGCTGGTCATTCGTTGACAGATAATCTAGTTCTGAGGACTTCCCTTCCTCAGTCCACCTTGTGGCGCCGCGTATGTGCTCAGTCAGCCCAGAGCTTCTAATGGCTGTACCAAGTTGCCTTTGGAACCAACCAGTGGGAATTATACTCTGACTGCTGAGATTTAAAGATGGGGTACTGAAATCTTCGGTTAAGAGTATTCGATCAAACCCTATGAGTGGCAGTTGCAGTATTACCTCAATAAGTTTGCTTTTCTGGTCCTTAGTACCCGAAGGAGGTCGGTAGATCCCTCCAATCAAGTATTTCGTGCCATTCGAGTGGAAACAACACCAACATGATTCTGTCACCTCAGTTAGTTGGGTGTCGTATAGTCGCTCTGCTTTTAAGTGGCTATATATATATATCGCCACTCCACCTCCAGTTTGGTGTTCCCTATCGCTTCGGAAGAGTGTCATGCCTGGTAAGCTCACTTCTGCGTCTGCGATGTCAGGGGATAGCCATGTTTCAGTTAGGATTATGATCTTCAGATCCATCTGAGAGCACATATTCCTGATTTCTAACAGCTTACCCCTTAGTCCTCTTACGTTGCTGTAGAGGCACTTGGTGGTTTATCTCAGCACCTGGTGCACATTTGCAGCAGCAGCCTTTATCGGATTTTCAGACAAGTTATTTAAACCGAATCGGCCAGTTCTGTGGGAACTGGCCTCTGCAGGTTTTTTGCCTGCGCGGTTGGTTCACTCATATCTTGTGCCAGAGGTAGTTGATCGAGTTTCACTATCAGTTGTGTGCGTTCATTTTGGCCTCCCTGCTGTTGTCTCACAGATCTAGGTCGGCTCTCACAACATCTGATGTGGCTATGTAGATCGCTCCTCGAACTGTACCAAGCTTGTAGTGTTTCAGCCAGGTCTTCCCGGTTCTTAAATGTTACAGCCATCAGGCGTGGTGACTTGATAGACGTAAGGTGTGACGGGCGGGGAAACCTGGAAATGCAAACTGCCATCGTGTGGAGGGATAGGCTACGCGGTAGCCATCGCCACTGTTGTACATCGTGCTCGTAAGCTTCGTCCGGGTTACCGCTGGTGAGTTCGGGTATACCGTGAACTACCATGGTGGTCTGTTCTTGGGTGTCTGGCGCAGTTCTGGCTGCTGCAAGTACCGATCACGGCTTGTCATGCCTGATACGAATCAGCGAGGACAATTTGACCGATGGTCTTTGTGATGAAAGGATTATGTCTTCAGCAAGTCGTGCCGAGTCAAGAGTTACCCTCATTGGATGGGGTTTTCCTTTCGAGACATTTTGGCCTTTGAAAAGGCGGCATATTTTGGCACATGAAGATAAGTAAAAATTTCCCATTTTATATCGAATTCGCTTATATTTATAATTGCAAATATTGTGAAAGAATAGGCAAAGTACTACATTTCAAGCAGCAGACCTAATGGTTTCATTCCATCTGAGTTTCACTTTAGGGTTTTTATAAATAGACCACTTATTAAAATAACTAAATGGTCCGGAAGAGCTGATGACAATTAGTAAAGCAGATAAAAAAAATAGGTGCATTTATGGTTCTTAGACTATTTCAATGAAAATTGGATCATAAAATTGCTTATCGCTAACTGAATATCATGGAATGAGTACTCCTAGTGTTCATCCATAAAACTTTACAATACCCAATATTTAGAGCTAGACCAATCAGTACGAATTTGCAAAAACCAGTTAATGGATATTATTATTGTACACCCTGGTTTTATATTTAAACACCATAAACACTATTACTGCGGGAAGAGAAATTGATCACATAAGAGACTATGTTTCAAAAAATTTCAATCGAACCATTTAAACTCTTCCCTGGGAATTGGAAGGTCTTTCTTCATGTCAGGGCCTAAAACCAGATTTAAACAAATTCAGTGATATATAGGCTGATGGATCAAGAAGGAGGGTATACATTTTGGGGACTGTACATAAGAAGAATGATGGTCGATGACAGATTATCGTCAATATGAACATACGGCGGAAACTATTTTTCGTATGCTTAGAAGTATATCATCATGTATGCTGGAAACCTAGTCTTCTCGTTGTGGAGATATAATATGCAGACAGGTTAGACCTCTGTCCACGATGCTGGTAAGATACTTCTATTTCATAAATAATATTAGGTCATTTGGATTGCTGCTACCGAATACTAATGAGAAAGCACTTTAAAACAATCCAAACTGAAAGGTTCAGCATTTTTCCATCATTCAAATGGAAGAAATAGATTTCTGACATAAAGAGAAACAGTTTTTCATTCATACTACAACTCTACAATGCTCACATTACCAAAAATCAGTTGATGTTTTGCTTAGACAAGCTGTCATTGGCTGCCAAAGCACTCGTAGTAGGACCTGATGCATTCGTTATAATAAAACTGAGTTTAGAGTACCTGTTGAGCATAGAGGTAAAGTGCACTCCAGATTCTGCGATTGAGTCACAAGATACCAGCTGTTTAGTGCTTTCTCCTAAGACCTTGATTCTATGGAGGTTAATCATGCCAACTAGCGCTATGGGGCGATTTCTGATTATTTTAAATATACAGTTATGATTATCCTAGTTTTTAAAAATTTTTAAACTTCTTCCTTTTACGCGATACGTTGGCTTCACTTGATTAGTGTCCTGACCTTCGATTTTCAGGTTCCTTTTTGCTTTCGGTATTGTGTGCCCCTGCTTTGTAACATAAAGCTTGAGGATTGGTTAAGAAACATATAATGATAAGTATTATCTACAGTTTAGAAATTGCGATTTTGATTTTCTCCATTTATACTGAAGATTGCAAACTTAGAAGTAAACAATTTATAACCTGAAAATGACTCCCATTCCAGCTGATTTCATATCCATGTCAATACTCCTATCTCTGATATATTCATCAAGCAGTTTTCTAAAAAGTCCTCTTTCAGCTGTTGTCGACCGAATTCAAGTTCACGAATAGTGCTGGACTATGTTGCCCGAAATAATAGTCCTATTCCACTATTGCAGGACTGTCTTGATGTGACTTTCTTATCTATAAGATCATTCATAAGAATCTTATCATTTTCTATAATCACTTGCCCTATCATCAGAGTTAACGATGCGATTTCTAAATCTTTCAGACTACACATTAGATCAGAGGTTAAAGTAATATATTTAGAATGAAATGGATTTATAACGCCTGCATGACTGAACCATGCCGTCTTGACAAACTGTCCTCGTCTTCATTTTTAGCCTTATAGTGGTACACAAACAAACATACAACTTCGCGAGATAACAAATGGTGATCCCAATAATTTAGAAATCAGAGGAAAGGTGATTCTAGATGAAGAAGTAAATTTGATACTGGCCTCATGATATCGAAATTATATCGAGGCAAGAGGGCGTACGTCCACGCAGAAGGCGTGCAAAGAGGAGGATGGGATAAATACGCTTGGCACACGAAACCAAAACATTGACTGAGTGCATTGACAAGAGCGTTGATGATCACTCCAGCTTTCATCAAGATTGACTAAATTCGATGGTACCGACAGGTAGATGGTCGTAGACAGGGGTTCAGGATACAAAATGAAAGAAAAAGGGAACAGTGTAGCATAAATAATCCGTATTATCATAGGACATCAGTTTATAGTAAATTTACGAAACCATTATTCAAAACGATAAAACACTAGGTTTCAAACGAGTTGGCCTTCTATGGAACTAACATATTTGCGTTGTGAATAGAAACTTCGTAAGTCGTCTTGTTCATTGTTTCTAAGAACAGTTTGCGCACATTATGACCTTCGGATCTCTTCCTTTTTTGAGGCGATCGAAAAATGGATGTTCGAAGTATGAAAAATCCAATTTGTTTAAACACTTCACTAGATAGCGCTCGTACAATTTGTAGTCGAACTATCAGTTGTGTTATCGTGATTCTGTCGTTGCCTATACTTATCAACGTACGTAAACTTTGTTAAGCTTAAGATTATTGGTTGATATTCTATTTGGCACTTAACGTTCCCGTCATCAAATAATAATACCTATATGAATAGTCTAATCGAGCGCCAAGAAATCAATTGGTGTACACTAGCTCGTGAAAAAGATATTGGAAGTGCAATTTTTTAGAAACATTAAGCGTTTTTCAGCCAGCATCGGATTCTTTCAAATATTTGTAAGTCGGTACTTCCTCAAGATTTCAAGTTATTTCGGGAGAAACTGCAGACCAGAATTAATCCTATAGTTTTTATCTGTATTTTTCCCCAAAATTAACTTTTTGAGCTTTTCCAAAATCCAGGTGATATTCCGTAATGTCGGGAAGGCGGAGACTCACTCAGAGCTAACCTAATACATTTTTGCTACCTGGGTGGGTTTTCCCATGTTGAGTCATGAGATTAAGATAGATCAGGTGTCAAACTTATCTTCGTGATGTCAAACTGGTAATCCAGCTCCCCTTTAAGTTTCAAGAAGAATGGTTAGTTCAGGGTTGAATGTCAAAAACCTTTTGATCTCATTTTCTAGGACCATCCATCTCATGTATCAAACAAGAGCTCAGTCCTAAAACCACATTTTCTGAGTTAAACATCATAATTCACATGTAGTACAGGCATCTCTTCAGTCGTATTGCGAAGTGACCAGTAAATAACCTGAAAGATTCGAAAGCATTTGCCTGTTAATTATGACGCTCAAATCTTTGTTAATAATAACCTTATGTATTCATTCCATCTATTTACATAACGGTCACCATAATGACCAAATCGCACTACTACAGTCTTGTTGAAAATCTCTTCTGGCGATCACCGTCTTGTCCGTGCTAATAGTGCTTCAAAATCTCCCTGTAATCTTATCTTATCGCCCTCATTTCTTATGTTTCTTCAGAGTTAATATCGCCACACTGTAAATTCAATTATCTATCTCCTTTTTGTAGATACTTAACGTAAACTAAAAACAAACCCCGAGTTTTTCATCGAACAACTCTACTAAGAAGACTACCTCGACGACTCATAGTTTACTTCTACACGTCTCCTGTCACTAAAGCCATAGCCTCGATCTCAGTACAATTAATTTTGTAAAACTCCCTAGACTTACTCTGAGACTCAGATGTGAGACCTTATCAATGCCCAACTCATTTGTAACGGCTTAGCCCCGTAGTTGCACTATCAACCCCTTGTATGTGTATTAGCTTGGAAAATGAAGAGATGTTTCTGTTCCCCTGTTTTAGTCATTTGTAGATGCTACTGTGTTTCTGATTCGCACTCACATCAACCTTCTAGAACTGTGTGTATATTATGTTCTTTTTATTGTTGGATTTATGTTTCTAAATTATATCCTTCCTTAGGTTTCTAGTACTTGGATTGTCTAAGATTAAGTAGTGCCGTCGGATGTACAGTTCCAGTTACCCGAAACAATATTGGTTCAGTTTTCTGAAAAAATGGGATCTTATACTGATGAGAATGATCCAAACAATTTCGAGGTCACATTGCATTCAGGTGCCTTGATACATGAACAAAAAAATGCTGGTATGTGATGTCTCCCTTTTGCACTGCATTTGTATTATTGATCTAATTGTGGTTCTTATTGTCTATAGTTTTCACCTTAAAAGAAACGGATTGTCAAAAACACACTAAGTGAAGCAGCAACTATTTATTACTATTCAAGTAGGATAAAGCAGTAAACGTTGGTTTAGTTCCTACATTCCCAAATGGTACTTTTTTCTGCCAAAAGTCAAAACTTTTTGAGTCTCTTAAGTGGTCTGAAGTAGACCTGTTATCCTGAAATGCCAGCAGTCGCACTATTTTGAAGTTCTTTATTTCTGAATTCAGATTATCTGTAATTGTATAAAAGTTGGTCAGATGTAAAAGCATGCATTGACCTACCTAAAATCATCGTCTGACTTCAAGAGTGGACCTTTTACCAGGGGACACGCTGGCTGACTTAGAATATACTCCTAATCAATGAAGACTGACAAAGTGCAGTCATCTGACTATCCTAAGCAACAATGCTAGCATGTTTGGGATGCGGTTTTCCCCCTCGAAACGCAAAATTTTGCTTCAAGATTGGGTTGCATCGGCACCTGAACTAGTGATAGGGAGTGTAGTAGTCGAATGTGCAGACCACTTCACGTATCTGGGGTGTCTCATCAGTGCTGATGGCATGGTGTGTGACGAAATCTCAGCACGGATACAGAAGGCTCGATTGGCTTTCGCCAACTCGCGTCACCTATGGCGCAGGCAAGATATCCGTTTGCTAACTAAAGGACGAGTGTACTGCACAGCAGTTCGCTCCCTCCTACTAGACCGATGTGAAATATGGCCTGTGAGAGTAGAGGACATTCGTAGATTGCTTGTCTTCGATCATAGTTGCCTCCGAAGCATAGTTCGTAAATTCCGGAACAGCCAAGTAAGCAATGCTGTTGTCAGGAATCGAGTACTAGGTAAAGATGGCGAATCAATAGATAAAGTATTGAAATTTTATCATTTCTGTTTGGGACATGTGCTGCGTATGCCTAACCACTGAGTGCCTCGACGAGCTATGTTTTTTTGGTGTAGGAGTAGGTTGGAAGAAAGGGGCAGCCAGACCAAAACATGTCAGAAATCCATGAAGTCACTGACAAGTGGACTGAGTCAAGTTGGTAGATGTAGGCTACCTGGTTGCGGTCCACGAGACGATAGTAACCGATGTTTAGAGACCTTGAACGACATGGCTCAAAATCGTTTGCAATGGCGCAGGTGCATCCACTCTTTGTGTGCTTTTTGATTCTAACCTTCTGAATTCCTCTATCTCTCTCCTTCTAAATTTATCCCAGTGAATTATACTTCTCAAATCATATCTTTGCTCCCTAATCTTCTCCATTACTGCTAATACTTCTGCTATCGCTACCACTATGTGATTTGAGCTGACAGTTGCGTTTCTGTGCTAATGTGGAATCGCAACCTGAACTGATGTACGTACGTACGAAGTTCTATGTTGTATCTGTCTCTGTCAAGGTCTCTAACCATCAATTGCTATCATCTCAACTGGACCACCGTCCTTAAAAAATCTCAGCAAACAGCCTATCAGGACCTGCTGAGCCTCTCAAGATAAGTGAAGCGGTCAACACGCTCAACTACTTCACTAGTCCAGGTGCTGTCGTAAGTCAATCCTGTAGCGAAATCGCTGATACTTCTATTACAGTGTGTTTTGAACTGGAAATTGCGTCTCTGAGAATGTGGTATGTCTAGTTGAACTGATATACCTACGTACTAATTCTATGTTGTAGCCGGCTGTCGAGAGAAAGAGCAGCACTTTTCACAGTTTACTCAGCTTTTTCTCGTATAGATTTTGTGTAACTTCAACCATATATTTGTTAGACCCATTCTATCATATGTCCACTTATTTTCGTGTTCTCATGTACTACCAGCAAAATATTTTATCAATAAGTGTTGAAGTATAATAAGTTTTTCACAACTCTTCACTCCCATAAATTTGGTTAGTACCTGTGAAAATTAGTCTATGCATGGATTGTACTTCTTTATTTAACACACGTATCAGTCCAATTCGAAAAGTATACTTATCTTAAAATGCTTTCCTACTCTTAAATACCATGTTTAGTTTGTAGTCATACAGCTTTCTCTTAACTTTTCTAGTTAGTCTATGGCAACGAGCATTCAAAAAGGTTAAGTCAATAGACCTAGATTCCTGGAGCGATCTACCGTGGAATGAACGTCCTATTCGACGCGCCCTCAGACACCGATACAGTGCAATCAAGAAGAAGTGGGTCGTGGATGAAGTACAAATCAAGATAGAATCAGAACCATTTGATCGTGGAGCAATGCGCGAATGTTTTAGACTGTAAGTACATATTTACTGTTTTCACTATCATGTTCATATTCATTCCATACCATGTACTTTTTCACTGTACTATTACGCGAAAATGTAAAGCTTTGTATTTTTTTGTATTACTGAAAATTGTCTTACGAAAACAATTTACCCTTTCATCATCAAAACTAACCTCCTTTTCATCAACTTTCATAGGAAGAAATTAAGTCAAAGAGCATCAGATACTAATGACTGGCATCATACATCAAATTATGTGGCCAAGCGATATATAAACCCTGTGGACAAACAGATTTACTTTGATGACGTGCGTCTACAGATGGAAGCAAAGTTATGGGGGGAAGCTTACAATCGGCATAATCCTCCCAAAAAGGCACGTTGTTCATTTTCGTTCTGGGTGTTTAAAATATACCCCAAAAACTTTTAATGTCAGTGTCTGTTTAACAACAATTTTTATATTCTCTCGAGTTTCTAATTTATTTAATGGTTTTTTGTTTATCAACATGTCAGTAATTGCTAACTTCGTTCAAAATGCGGTCTATAACCTCTCCATGTTAATCAATATCAATCAATAGCAATGTAGAACTTCGTACGCACGTACATCAGTTTATGTTGCCTACCACATAAGCACAGAGATGTAATTGTCAATTCGAATCCAATAGTAATAGAGGTAGTAAAGGTATTAGCAGTAGTCGGAGAGGTTAGGATTAGAAGATATTATTCAAGAAGTAGAAACTAATGAAATAGACTTGAAAAGATAAAGACAAAGTGATGAAGAATTAAAAAGTTTAGGATTTGAGAGAACACAAAGAATGAATGCACTCGCGCCATCGCAAACGGTTTTGAGCCATGTGATTCAGGGTCTCTAACCATCTATTACTAACATCTCGCGGACCCCAACCAGGTAGTCGACATCTACCGACATGACTCAGTCCACTTGTCAGTAACTTCATGGATTTGTTCCATTTTTTGGGCTAGTCGCCCCAACCTCTTCATGTACTTTTTCCCAAAACATTTCATGTCATATTTTCCAACTGACTTGTTTATTTGTATTGTGAGTGCATAAGCCACTTACCTGTCACCAATCCTGATTTTCCAACCACTGACTAGATTGCATCGGGTTTACAGGAGTCCTGTTTGACACCAATTAGTTTGCACTACTTTTTGTACTGTTCACTTAATTGGCTATCTTGTAAAAAAAATTAATTGCTTAGTATTTCCTTCTGGGTTATTCGGCTGTGAGACACTCATTAGGATTGGGAAATATTGTAGGTATTCCATCGGATGCTATAAGAGAGATAATGGGATTTGGTGAGCTCCAGTCTCGGTCCTTATTACCATATTTGTTGATTTTTTCCTGCGTAACAATACGGATCCATAAACTAATGCCGACTTGTACATTGATATAATTGTTATTATTAGTAACTACCTATTTCATTTTATTTTAAAGGTGGACATTTTCCAGTTGTCTGTTCTCGAACTAAACCCTGAAAGTTCCGTTGGTAATGAACAAGTAGCTTCTTCATCGCCAGTATTTTTTCATATTGAGCGATATATGGAAGGAGAGTATCGTAAATACAATTCAAACTCTGGCTTTGTCGATGAGTGCTTACGTAATACTCCACAGGTATGTGTACTAAGCAAATAGTTTTATTTAAAGCAATCAAGACATGAAGCGATTGTCATATTACTAAGAATTTCTGAAAACCATAGGTTACTGAAGAGACCTCCAACAGTGTTCATTGGTCATTACTTAAACGATGAAACCTAAGACTCCCTAGTCCTGTAATATGTTCCAGAATTTGTGTCAACCAGTTGACATTTCTTAAATCTCGAATTATAATCCTCGTAATTTTCGATAAATTGTTTAATTTGATGAAATTCGAACACTTGGTTATCTGGTTTTACAAATATTGCCCAAGTATTTGATTTGTTAATAGCATTACAATTTCTGAATCCAATATCTTACTCCAAAAAGCAAAAACACCATATTTCTTTCCACTGTATACAACTGTGAAGCCAAATAACTTCTCAAAGTAGACAAGTTCAAATTGTTACAACATATATGCTCACTCTTTTAGTTTCAGCGAATATTATTACCCAAGGGTGTTTGACTAAGTACTATAACAATATCCCTGCACATCCACATAAGACACCTCGACAGTAAATCGGGTTGGTAGTCTTACATCTATCTTTCTCACCCAGTAAAACGTTATTGGAAAATCCTGTGTTTGAGTTTTGAACTGCGACAAATTGCTTTATAAAATCCATTTCAGTAATTGCAGTATTGAAAGTTTTTGCTAATCAAAACCCCTATTATCTGAATCGTTATCCGAAAACCTCTTCCACTCATTTACTCTTCGGGCATGCTTAGTGTGGAAATTTATCTAATTGTTATCTCTATCTCGAATGTATTTTAGTTAGACTTCGTGGGAACCTTGTCATTCTTTCTTTTGTTGATGTCTAAATGGACTGAATCTAACACTATAATACATCACAAGTTCGCGATGCAAAGTCGTCATCATCAGAGCCATACGTAGATATCATAAAGTCTTGCAATAATTTTAGAGACCATACTTTTTCAGCCACATGTAAAATCTTTTCTCATTACTATAGTAGAGTCGTGAATTTTGGTCTCATATGCATCAGTAGTCAAAAACAAATAATGAAAAACCGGGTCTGTATGCTGTTCCCTTATGATACACGTATCTGATTAGCATGTATCATTCTAAACTAACTAACTTAGTTGGTGTTGGAACAAACTATTAATACTAAATTTCCGTATGAATTTCATGAATAAAAAAGTATGCATAATATATATTTCATGAAGAAACAAAAATATTTGTTCACTGTACTTGAGAATATTACTATCTAGCTAATGAAATATTCATTTCTTCTTAGACTTTTAGTCACTTCACATTTGAACGTTCCGGTCACCGATTGTTAGTTGTAGATATCCAAGGTGTTGGAGACCTGTACACTGACCCTCAAATTCATACATCAGATGGAGTGGGCTACAATGATGGCAATCTCGGTACGCGGGGTATGGCTTTATTCTTTCACAGCCATAAATGTAATCCTTTATGCAAATGGCTAGGATTAGCTCAATTTGATCTGGCTCCCTCTGAATTAGATGTGCCGACGCAGTGTCACCAAACTAATCAAAATCCTCCAAATCCTATGGAAAATGAAGTCGATCACGTAAGATTACCTTCTGCTTTGTCGATTGATTCATTACGAAAGGTCTTGTGAATAATATCCACATTTTGTGATTGGTTTTCATATTTCATAAAGTTAAACATAGCTTAACTGATCCGCATTTGTAACTGAGCACTTACGTAACTAAGTTTTTTAACTTTCACTTGCTTAGGTGTTGATTGACAAGTAGCAGTCAAAATAATGCGCGTAGATGGATATCAGTAACTGAAAGTTTATATAAAGCTACTGCGCACTACTTCCTGTATTCCGAAATATCTGTAGGTAGTTAAACTACACCATCTCATAATCTGGTGTAGCTTATAAAATGTATGCACATCGACTAGACAGTCTACTGTCTGAGTTAGTATGTAAAGTGGTTGGATGAACACTGAGTTATCTATTTATTGGTAGTGAAGCTATCCTTCTGTTAAGTCTTTTACTTCAACGTAGTATTCTATTCTAAATTTGTTTCACAAAATGAGAAAATGTCAATGTATTCATTATTTTTCATTATAAGATTCTGGAGTCTTCATTTCTGTACCAACACTGATCAGTTAAAAATAGCCCTTTCAGAGTGCTTCAATCTTATCCTGTCTGGGACCTGTCATCAAATCTAAGCCTTACTAACACTTGATCTCAAAATAAATCCGATTAAAAGAAGTCAATGTCACTTAGCACTTCTTAATATCTGTTGACTTCGTGTTGTTGTGAGAGACCTACTGACTGGTCAATGCCGTAAAAGCACCATCTGTACTCTGAACTTCACTGAGGATCAAAGTTAGCATAAAACAAAATACTGATTTCTGAATATTATAAAGCCCAAAATATTAACCCTTTCGTTATCACCAATATTTCATTACTAGGTTGAAAGCACGTGTGGAATGTTTCGCAAATCGAAATTTCGTCGACGTACATTCAGTTTAAACAATCAAGTATCCTGTAAATCTCCGTCTAATTTGTATGGTCCGACAGTTGTTCGTTCATCTGAAAGTATGTTCACCTCAGCACTTTCCGAAACTCGTCGTCGTTGTGCTAGTATTTCACTTTGCGATCATTCCAAATCCATGGGACAAAGTTTGAGCTTTGTATCTTCGTTTCAGTCGGTGGATGATGACCTTTCACTTGACAGCCCTGACGCTCTGAAGCTTCGACAAACATCATGTCCGAATCCTTCATTTCAGCTGTCGAATCATCAATTCTCACCTGACTTAAATATATCTGGTCAGGGACAGTGTTGTCTTCAAAATTTCGGTTCAGTAGTCCCCAAGCTACCGGTTTCAAGAAACCGTGCAGCGTCTGGTGACTCAGGATATTCTGGACGAGTAAATTTAATTCAGCCTTGTTCAGACTTTCCCGTTGGTAGATTATGTGAAGTCGCTTCTGGATTTCATCAAAACTGTACAAATTTTGATGGTAATTCTACCTCAGTTGATTCATCAGTACGAGTTTCCCCGCCTAGTGTTGGAAGTATGCGATCCTACTCAGAATTTCGTCCGTCAGTGGATGAAGCCTTTCCTTCAGCATCAAACCATTTATTTTCCAATCGTTGTATGATTATACCAAAAAGACAGCGTAATATCAGCGAATCTAGTGATGTAGATGCAGAGGAGTGTCATCGTGTGACTGGAAATTTATTGTATCAACTAATGCATGAAAATCACAAACCCAGTTGTGCCGATCATCCTACAAACTTGGATCAAGAAATCGGGCATTCTATTCTTGGACAAGTAAGTCTAAATTAAACAGAAATTAAAGAACTAGCTACATTGCTTTTTTAAATGAAATTTATCATACTTAGTTCGATACTTTGTCTAAAGTATCCTTGGCTTTCGTAAAAACTTTCTCGTGAAGCTATCTGACAAATAATCGTCCTTTTAATGAGTTTATTATTTACACCTGTTATCCTTAATAGAGCATAGGCCGCCGGCCGGCATCCTGTGACTTACTCTGTTCTGAGCCTTCCTTTTGAGTTCTACCCAATCGCTGTTCATGCTTTTGATGTCGTATTGCGTTCTTTGATCTACCTCTTCTCCTTCGGCCTTAAAGATTCCAAGTTAGTGTTTGCATTGTGGCGCAGTTCATTAGTGTTCATAATTAAGGTTATAATAAGACTTATGTTACTACATTGTTCAAGCAAACCACCCTCTGGTTATCATCTTAGCACTCGACCAACCTGAGATTGGTTTTCCATTATGCTTCTAAAAATCATCTGTGAATTCCTTGTTCAATCCTTTAATTGAGGGATCTTTACACTAAAGTGAAACTCCATTCTGATGATAAATATTTTCAGAACACTGTATGGCAATCACCGACTAAGATCTTGTATTGTGAATCATTTTTCTGAACATCTGCATAATTTTCGTCTTCAAAATAACAGACATTCCATGGTCGTCGGTAGAATTTATTCAATACCTTTTGTGTCCTATAAGCTCATCAAATTTGTATCATAATCTCGTAATATTGTGCCATACAATTTTGAAAATATTGAGATTTTGAACTTTACAAGAAATGAATTAATAAAGAATAGGTATGTGAATAGCTGATAAACAATAAACTATTTATAATAAAGGTCGTTTGGTTCAAGTAACCTTTTCTAGTTTCACCATTTTCTTTGCCTGAACATTTGATTTTTACTCTCGAACAGGCTTGTTCTACTAACCCATCAAAACTGTTGCAATTATTTTTAACTAACTTAAGTAAAGCTTCTCTTTTGAAAAACAGATACATCATGAACTTGCCAGACTTCATGAAGCTGGACGCTTTGTACCAAATAAATGTGGATGGTCAAATGTAGGACTAGGAGGTGAAGGACTACTCAATAAGGACTGTTGGGAAGTTAGTGACTCCGAAGAATCGAACAACGGAGCAAATATTGACCCAGTAACTTTGATCGACTGGTCAGCTGTCCTATTTCATGAACGCCACGCTGCTCAACTAGGTTGCCTTGAAGCCATGATTGTCATGGCACATTATTATCTTGGTTTACCGACTCAATTGTTACTGGGGTGTCCAATAAAAGTAAGTTGTTTTTGAACTCTTTTTTGTGAGATAATCATAATTATAGAGTACCAATCACAGATCCTTTAGTTGCGATCTCCGACAAAACTTATTATCGCGCTCTGAAGTAAAGAAAGGATCTCAATGTAAAATTTTATAATTTTCTACAATTTTATTTTACACTGAATTTGAACTATCCTTTCTATCTCTGTGTTTGCATTCAGGTATATTTCTAGTAACGTTAGCACTCAGGAGCCTAAAAATTAGTAACTTAAAGAAACATCATAAAGTTGTTACAGGATTCGTCCATATATCATCTGCTAAGGGTGGATACTAAGTGAACACGAATTTTTATCCATTGACTGAACTTTTGGTTGTAATAATTTCATCGTCATTCTAAGTATATCATCCTTCGTTTCTACAAAGTGTGTACGTCTATTCGATTGTTACTTTCTTGGCGATCCATAATAACCAGCTTTAGGGTTAGTGCTTAACTGTGTATAAATTCTTTTTGCTGAAAGCAACAGTAAAAGACAACTTCGATCGAAATTCGCTCCAACTCGGGACTGCTTTTTTTCAGTATGATGAGTTTTGTTAATTAACCTGTCCTTACCATCTCATAATAAGATAATTTACGTTAAAATTCTACATTTAGCCTCGCCATTGAAACTCAGTTGCGTAAAAAATTCTATTTCATAAAATTAATTTTGAAGTCCTTAAATTTGCTGGTTCACATCCATGTAGCTACATTTATTACCAAATTCTATAGCTTAATATGTAGTATTGGAGACTTTTACAGGCCGTTTGTATTTTATTTCTTGTTATGAGAGCAAGTATGTTTTACTTTGAAGTAATATACATATCTCATATGGTAAATGTAATTCTAAAAATCCAGTGTTCAGGTACTGTTAACGGACTTAAGGTGCTTCCATCATATTATTTAAAAAGTTAGATACTCCAATATTTCAACTTTGTATTCACTGATAAATTTCTCTCCGCTTATCAGTCAGATCCAAGTGATATACGTATTGGCATTGATCATCTTTGGCGTGCTGCGGAAGGTGGTGATCGTCGATGCATGATCCTTCTCGCTCGCTATCTAGACTTGTCAGTTAGTCTTATAAATCCAGGACATCAAACCAATTCCGTAACAATCCCGCGTGACGTTTTGATACTTCCTACCTTACAATCCTATCTTAATAACAATAATCAATCATTGCTTCCTTCTATATCCCCTGATTCCTGGTCTGAAGCTATTGGTTGGTATAAACGGGCAGTTGACAGTGCCATTAATTCATCCTCTTCCGCTGATGGGTGTACAGATGAAGGATTAGATGCTGAAGGTCATTATGATGCTGCTGAAGATTTACTACCTGTTTATCGTATTTTGGCTCGTATGGCTGAAATGTATTCTGTCGGTGGCTTCGGTCTTAAACAAAATTTATCCTTAGCCGGTAAGTGTGTACTAGTAAAATTTGACAATTATTTTGTGCTATCAAACAAGGCTTCTCATCAGGTGTGAACATCCTCAAGTGATCAGTCAACTGCAACGTAGATTTAAGTACATCAGTTTAGGTTGCCATACCACATTAACACAGAGACACAATTAACAATTCAAATCTCATAGTGGTAGAGATAGTAGGAGTACTACTGGTAAAGGAAAAGATTAGGGTTCGAAGATATGATTTGAGAAGTATAATTCAGTTAGATAAGTTTAGAAAGACAAAGGAAGAGGTTGTGACGAATCCAGAAGATTAGGATTTGAGAGAACACAACGAATAAATGCACCTGCGCCATTGCAAACGGTTTTGAGCCATGTAATTCAGGGTCTCTAACCATCGAATACTAACATCTCGCGGACCCCAACCAGGTAGTCGATATCTACCAATATGACTCAGTCCACTCGTCAATAACTTCATGGATTTCTGCCATGTTTTTGGTTTGGCCGCCCCTAGCATTCTTCCAACCTACACCTACACTACAAAACAAAGCTCGTCGAGGCAGTCAGTGGTTAGGCATACGCAGCAAATATCCCAACCACCTCAACTGATGAAGTTTCACTACTTCATCTATTGATCTGTCATTCTTACATAGCACCCGTTTCATAATAACAGCGTTGCTCACTCGGGTGTCCCAGGATATACGAGCAATTCTTCGAAGACACCTATGATTGAAAACCAGTAACCTACGAGTGTCTTCTACTCTCACTGGCCATGTTTCACATCCATAAAGTAAGACGGAGCGAACTACTGCACAGTACACTCGTCCTTTTGTCAGTAAACGGTTATCTCGCCTACGCTATAAATGATGTAAATTGGCGAAAGCCAATCGAGCCTTCTGTAGCGGAGCTGAGATTTCGTCAGTCACTAGGTCATCGTCACTGATGAGACTCCCGAGATAAGTGAAGTGGTCTACACGTTCGACTACTTCACTCCCTATCACTAGTTCAGGTGCTATTGCAAGCCAATCTAGAAGCAACATTTTGCATTTCGAATGGGATGATAATTTATATCATTTCAAGCAAAGTTTTTCACACTTTAATCAACAAAGGTAAGTTTGAAACAACACAGATAGAATACAGCGTACATCTGACGTAGTTGTTAAGGATGATTAGCATTTTTTAACCGTAAATGAAACCAAGTAACGAAATGTGTGATATCAGACATAATTATCAGTCGATATAGGACCGATTTGGTCTCGTGTTCTGTTACGGGTATGAGGGCGGTTGTCACTACCCGGCTGCTTACACCGTGGAAGCTTGTTTCTTGAGGAACCTGAAAAGGAGGATAGGTTAGAGTTGGTCTTAAAGAACTGAATGCGTGACCGCAGAGTCCAAGGGACAACCGCTTGTTACGTATGTCCAACCACCGACTGCCGCAACGAGTCAGAAATCCATAAAGTCACTGACAAGTGGACTGAGTCATGTTGGTAGATGTCGGCTACCTGGTTAGGGTCCGCGAGACGATAGTCACCGATGGTTAGAGACCTAGAAAGACATGGCTCAGAATCGTTTGCAATGGCGCAGGTGCATCCACTCTTTGTGTTCTATGACATTCTAAGTTTCTGCATTCCTCATAATCTCTACTTTTCTCCTTCTAAATTTATCTACTGAATTATACTTCTCGAATCATATCTTCGCTCCCTAATCTTCTCCATTACTGCTAATACTTCTATTATTGCTATCACTGTTGGATTTGAACTGACAGTTGCGTCTCTGTGTCGTTGGGGCATGGCAACCTGAACTGATGTACTTACGTACGAAGTTCTGCGTTGTATCTGTTTGTCTGCTTGAGGCCGGTCACGCACGGCCTTTTAATGAGAATTTTTTTGAGCATTAGCTCCGCTCTTAAAGGCCCTTAGTGGGCACCCTTACCGACAGAGACGAAAATCCGTGAGGTAGGGTGACGTGTGATATTTTTAGGGTCGACCTTTTCTAACCCTTCCTTCCTTGTCGGAAGGCAGCATCGCTGCAGATGCTGGTTGTCCGGGGGAAACACCTTACTGCTGTCACACCCCTCTACAGTCAGCAGTACGACATCGCCCTCAGACCTTGAGTACCTGCTTTTAGTCTGATCGTTCTCCAATCGATCTGCCTGGCATGGTAGAACCTTCAGGAACATAAGTTCCAGCCAGTATAGCTCGGTTGGGTCATGACGATAGGCCAGCCCGACCACCACGTCAAGGTAGCAGCTACGGTCAGTCGATATAATGGAGAACTTTAAACAAATGATTGGATTGTGTAGTCAGGCGGCCTAGTTAATGTAAAATTAGGTGCCTACATAATCGACATGTCACACTATTATTCTAATTTTCACAGTTGAAATCTCGAACTGATCTTACATGGCAATACTGCATTTTCTCTGTACGAAGTTACGGTCTAAAGCGCTTGCTGGTAGTAGCCTCCGCCCAGTGGCTTTCGTTGCTTGTAGATGATTCTGAATAGCTTTTTGATATCTATTTTATGTTCTTTGTCCATTAAGTGTCTGGAAATTTCACCTATAAACACTTCTTTTATTCTTTTCGGGATCAACCTTTGTCTTTTGACTTAATTCACGTGGTGCAAAGACCAATCGGAATACACGCTTAAAGATCAAAAGCAGCGCTAAGTATCAGTTTGTTCTTTTCAAGTTAATATATTTATTACCATCTCTTTATCCTCTGTACTGAGGTAAAGAGCTGTAACCTAGATTATTTTATAGGTGTTTCAAGTACTACATTGTCATTTTTTCCTATCCAACGAATTTCATGTAAACGGTTGCAAGTGTAATCATTCCTCCATCATTCGACCTCTTTATTTATGGAAACAGTCATATGCATTATGTGTTAGTAAAACTGGATGTATGGTGTGAATAAACTTAACGACTTAAATGGTTACAGACGAAAATACAGTATTTTACAGTAGTACAACATTAACCATGCATCAAATAGCAAAAGAAGAGTTCGTCTAAAAATCTCTGGATATGGACATGAAACTCAATTTTTATGATAGATTTCTGCATGCAACATCATTCTCTGACGTTTTGAGTTTATAGTTCAATAACTGCTTTTTGTTCAAAAATCAATTAGTGTGAGAAGTTAAACGTTGATATTTTATTGTCAACAAGAAATTGCATAATTTATCAAACCGTTTAGCAAATAGTTTCAGAGTTGATCAGTATTCCCCGAGTTTACTTTATAACTTAACGACGAATTAATATTCTTCTATATAGTCACTGTAGTCTTCATTACTGTGGTCAAGTGTTTACTTAAGATATTAGCACAGTAGTTCATTTATCCCTGTAGGTTTAAGCTAAAATCATAAATACCAAGATGCAATCAAGTTTTTACTCTTCTAACCGTGATTATATATTTTTTCTTCTGTGAGAGCTTTCATTGCCACCATATTATTTATTTTTTCTGTCAAATTTTCTTCGTTGAAGAAAAATAGCAATCATAGTAATATAATTTACGGATTACCTGAAACTTGCTTATCCTCACTTCCATTTTATTTTCTTTTTAGGAGATCTTTTCACTCAAGCAGCAGAAATTGCTTCTGGTGCATTACAAGGTCGTTTGGCTGTAAAATATTTTGAGTTAGCAGATGAAGCATACTCATTGAACGAGCAAATAACTAACTGTTAGGAAGTTTATTTTGACCATAAGCACATCGGAAAGTATAATTTAACAGACTATCCTTTGTATTCTGTAATAGACATCTTTACTTGTGTTTTTTTACTCCTTTGCTTACTTGATGTGTTTTCTATGATCCATAACCGTGTAGTTTTTGTACTATCTTTATTTGAATTAATGTTTTCATCATCCGGTTGTATTGCTTTTGTGCTGTTTTTTAGATTTCAATACAAATCTTTCATCTGTGGCATTCTTTATCTTAGGTTTATAGCACATGTCCGTTCAATGTGTTACAAATACCTGGTATTTTTGATCATGTTTAATGTTTTTACATCATTATTTAAGATCGAGTTTACTTAGTCGTTAGTTTTACGAATTCTTGTAATGTTGAAAATGTATGTGTACTGGCCACTACCAAGTTATTTACATTAATTCGCATATTGCATTTTCATTTTTGTTTACAAATCTGCTTGTCAAACAGTTTGGTCAAAATCCCCACTTACAAAGAAATATGTGATCAAGTTTCCTAAACCACAATGGTTTAGCCAGCTTTGATTATGATACTATGGAATTTCTTTTGACTTAAGTATCTATTTTCTATTTGCATAGCAAGATTACGCTAATGTCATCACAAATTTCAACAATTGTTAATAGAAGTTTTTACTGAACCCATAAGGTACTCCCAAGACCGTTTTTCTGCTGTTTTATATACGTAGTATCTACGACACAATTTTTACATTATTAGCATGAGAAAAAATCGTTGTGAGACTCTCCTATTCATGCTTCCTTGTAAACCACCTGTCAACAGATCTCACTGAAGCAAAATATATTCGTCTATGTTTTATATATCGTCGTCTCTTTATTGAACAGAATCCTCGTTACGTAGAGAAGATGGTCGTTACTCTCCATAGATTTACTTTTTATCTGTTTTGAGTTTTATATTCAAATATTTCGGACGAGCGACTAAGATATTAATTTGTTTGGAAGTTTTAATTCTGATTTGTATAAAAACATTTCATTTTAAAGGAAATGTCCTTAAGCTTTGTCACATTTCCTAGGTTTTATCCACATACATCCAACTCAGAGAACCAAACACCACAATCATCGACCTGAGCTACAAATCTTCTCCACCATCTCAGAAAGGTATCTTGGATATAAAACTCAGATTTAAGTATCAATTGTTCTCAAGTCTTTATCACTAAATTAAATACATTCACTCTGTTAGGCTGATCAAAATAGTAACCGTATTACAAGTTTCAGTGACAGAATATTTACAGTTTTGAGAACAGAATTATGTGACGTTCTTTGCTGTTATTGTTGTTCCTTATCCTCACAGCTTCTGTAACTTAATAGTATCATTCGGCCCCAGATGCTAATAAAAACACAGTAAGCTAACCATCATATCTTTTTGTGTTGTGTGACAAAGGCCTAGAAACTTATATGGTAATACACCTGAAATACTAGACCATCATGCGTACGTGAATAGGACAAGGCCGACTAGTGTGTTTGTGATCAATTTACCATAATGTATGAACGTTTAAAACATGCTGCAACGGTTTATGAGTTAGATATCATATCACAGATCAGTTGTTCAAAAAAATGAACGGAAATAAAATGTATAAACAGATCCCCCAGGGAATTGCTTTTGAGTTCCATTTATTCACTCCCTCCTAAAGGGCCAACAGTAGTAGCTACCCATATGACATTAGTTACGGGTTTTTTGAAGTTTGTAAAATAAACTATCGGTGAGCAATTAAATAATCCTACTCGTAGAATTACCGTATGTTCTTGTCTGTTTCGCTATTTGAACAATATTTTCAATTTCAACAATTGGTGTCTGCATTGATGGACAATTATCTTACAATTTTGTAACTACCTCAGGTTAAACTAATAACTTCAGTGAAACATGATGAAATTTATTTGTGCAATCAATTCGATTTTACGTGAATTTGGTATCCCACCCTATATCTAGTTCTAACTGACCATATATTTTATTTGTAAGCTTAATAAAAGTATGGCGGATATATAACAATGTCATAAACAGTACTGTTCCTGTTTATGACCTTTATTTGTTTTTCTCCTATGCAAAAATTCAAGTTTTAAGCCAACTAGTTCACTGAATATCTTGTATCTATACACATATCGAATGACTCATACCATACAAGGAATGAAATTCAACTTTCGAATACGATTGGTTGACTGTTTAGTACAGACTAGTGTTTGACCTTTAATATCCTGAAAACCTTTTACATCGATTATTTCCTTTGCAAAAGCTTAAATATTACTAAGGCATGTGATATGGATCACCTTATCATCAACACATGTGTCAAGGCTGAACCTCAAGGTCAAAAGTTAAGGCTGAGAGGATGCGATAGTCTTGTTGTCAAAGAAAGGAAATTTGATTTCCTTCAGGACTTTACCTTAGATCCATAATTTTAATTTATGTTTACATCTACCTTTTACAACCCAATGATTTACTAACCTATTTACCTCCAATTACTGACTTGATAACTTGTAATTAAACATGCAAGTACATTTATTGTGTGGTTAAAAGTATACATAGTTGCTTCTTAAAACACTGAGTTCGGTGGTGTTTGAACTTGTGACTTACTGTTTGTAATTTTTTGCCTCATCCCAAAAGCTGCCATAATTTTCTGCATAAGTGAATGCACTTGAGTATAAATTGAGGAGAGGTCCCATAATATGTTGGACAAATGCTTATTTGTAGATTTATGTCACGTTCGAATTCTGTAATTTTTATTGTGTATAAATGGCAGTAGTTATTTAAAGTTAATAAAATCCTAATCCAGTTTTAAACCATCATTGCTCAAGTCATGCTCATAACCGACCGAAGCTGCTACCTTGACGTGGTGGTCGGGCTGGCCTATCGTCATGACCCAACCGAGCTATACTGGCTGGAACTTATGTTCCTGAAGGTTCTACCATGCCAGGCAGATCGATTGGAGAACGATCAGACTAAAAGCAGGTACTCAAGGTCTGAGGGCGATGTCGTACTGCTGACTGTAGAGGGGTGTGACAGCAGTAAGGTGTTTCCCCCAGGCAACCAGCATCTGCAGTGATGCTGCCTTCTGACAAGGAAGGAAGGGTTAGAAAAGGTCGACCCTAAAAATATCACACGTCACCCTACCTCACGGATTTCCGTCTCTGTCGGTAAGGGTGCCCACTAAGGGCCTTTAAGAGCGGAGCTAATGCTCAAAAAAATTCCCATAAAAAGGCCGTTCGTGATCGGCCTCAAGCACTTGTCCCTTGGGCTCTGCAGTCACGCACCCAGGTCTCTAAGACCAACACCAATCTACCTTCTTTTCAGTTTCCTCAAGAAACAACCTTCTACGGTGTGGGTAGCCGGTAAGTGACAACCGCCCTCATACACGTAACAGCACGCGAGACCAAATTGGTCGAAATCAAATCCTTTCTTCAACCCCCAACATCTCACTTATCTCCACGACTAACTGTACTCACATTCCTTTATCTCCCCGAACCTCTGCTGCAATCGATTCGAGTCCCCGAAACGTCATTCCTGGTCCCTTGAAGCCCCGTTCTAAACTACTTGTTGGTGCATTTAATGTACGGACATTGTGTCAAATAGGGAAACAGGCTTCTTTAGCTAGGACTTTAGAATCTCGCTCAATCGATGTATGCTACTTCTCGGAAACGCACATACAGTATCCGAGCAGCATCATTCACTTGACCTCACCATGTCAAGATAAAGAAGCAACTCGATTTATCCTTCGTGTATCCGGTAGCTCTGATGCTGCTTCCCGGCGTCTCGCTGGTGTAGGTATAGCATTGAGTCTTAAGGTAGAACTATCTCTCCTTAACTGGACCCCTGTAGATAGTCGCTTGTGCGCTGTCCGACTCAGCGGGACAGTAAAGACTCAGAATGGCGGGGACACCCGCTGTTTCTTTTTTTGTCGTATCAGCCTATGCCCCCACTGACTGCAATCCAGACGATGTAAAAGATGAGTTTTACTGAAAGCTATCGGACCTCCTCCAAAATGTTAGGCGCTCTGATATAGTTATAATGGCTGGTGACTTTAATGCTCAAGTAGGCAGACTGAGTGAGCAGGAAAGACACTTGAGTGGATGTTATGGTGTCGCGATTCAGAGATCAGACAATGGCAACCGTCTTTTGCAACTGTGCTCACATAACCGCCTATTTCTAGCAAACACTAACTTTAGGCATAAGGGAAAACATCTGTTGACCTGGCGACCCCAATTCGTCTCAACGTTGGACGCAACTAGATCATATTTCCATCAACCACCGATGGGGCTGTTCGATAAAAGACTGTCGCTCGTTCTGGGGCACATGTTTAGATTCAGATCATGCTCTAGTTCGAGCTCGTATTTGTTTGAGGCTTACTGGACGTAGGAAAGACACCGTAACGAAGATTCTTAGGGTTTTACTTAATGATACTAAAGCTAATAATATATTTCAGGAACAACTAGGAAGAGAGTTAGGCAACAATGTAAGTGATTCCCATCCAGAAGCAGGTTGGAATGATATCAAAAAGGCTGTGGAAATAGCAGTGATATCTTCTAGCAAGGTAAACCATAGGTCTAGAATGAAGCCATGGATCTCAGTAGCATCTACCGAACTGATGGATGCTCGAAAACTCATCCCACCTGACTCTGAACATGATAAAAACGAAGTCAGCTAAGGCACAGACTGATAAAATGCCTATGCAACGACCGTGAACAGTGGTGGGTGGCGAAAGCAAAAGCGATGGAAAAGGCATGGTCGATAGGCAACACTAGACAACTTTTCCGACTTATCAAGGAATCCTAGTGTGAGACTATCTAGGAAAAGGATGAGACCATTATTTATTCTCAATCTAGGAGGTTGGATCGATGAGCAAAACACTTTAGGGATCAGGTCAACTGGCGTTCAGCCACAATTCGGTTATCCACGATCGCTAGTCAACCTGAATGGCAGATCGATTTAAGTCCCCCTAGTCTTTATGAAGTTGAAAAAGCGTTAGGAAATCTGAAGC